TTGTCCCAAGCCCCTCTCCAGGTTCCCTGCAGCCCCTTTAGGCACTGGAGCTGCTCTAAGGTCTCCCCTTCAGGAGCCTTCTCTTCTCCAGGCTGCCCCAGCCCAGCTCTCTCAGCCTGGCTCCAGAGCAGAGCTGCTCCAGCCCTCACAGCAGCTCCATGGCTTCCCAGGGATCCCCATGGATGAGGAGCAGCCGTGGTGATGGGGCTGCTCTCACCTGCAGAGCCGGTGAAGCCGGTCAGCCAGCCCAGCCGGGCGTCCCTCGCCGAGATGTACTCGCTCTGAGACAGGAGCAGAGCCGTGAGAAGCGGCCGCTGACCCCAGCAGCAGTGGTGGGGCCGGTGCCCATGTCCCAGCCTGTTCCTGCCTTACCATGTGCGCATCCGTGGCGGGCACCACGTAAGCCTGCACGCCCAGGGCCCGCATGGCGCCCCGCAGAGCCGCCACCCTCGCCGTGGTGTCAGTGGCCGTCGGGGGCAGGTACTGGTGGCACAAGGGACATGAGCTGTGGCAGTGGGGCCGGGGTGCCCCGTGCTGGGTGTCCCAGGGACAGGGCAGGCTGGGCTCACCGGAGGGTCCGTGGAGCAGTCACGGATGTCGGTCCTGGAGTCGGCAGCCTTTGGCAGCAGGGCCGTGGCACAGCCTGGGACATGGGGACACCCGTGCGGCAGCCGTCACCCTCATCCCCAGTCTGAGGACCCAGCTGGCATCCACAGAAACCAGCAGCTCCAGCCCCGGGGGTGGTGGGTGAAACCAGTGCTGTCATCCAGCTCAAGGGCAAGTAGCTGCTCCTGGAGCAGGCAGAGCCTGGGGATGGGCTGGGGGTGATGGGATCCTCAAGAGAAGTGCCCAGTGCCTGTTGTGCCCAGGAGCTGGGGAGGGGGTTGGCAGGAGCCAGCCCTGAGGGTCCTGGTGCTGGGGTTGCTGGAGGAGCTGCCCGGCAGCCCTGGCCATGTCCCACCAGGACCTGGCCTCTCCCCGGTGCTGCTGGGTGCTCGGTGCCATCAGCAGCACCCCCTTGCCCTGCGCTCTCCGTCTCTGGCACCGCTGCAGCGGCGGGCAGGGACCTTGTTCTTTGTCCCAGGCCAGTGTCACGGGTTAGTGGGTCACCCTTAGCACCGTGTGGCATTGGGCACCTGGTCTCCATCCCCTGGGAGCCGCTCTTTACCTGTCACCTGCGCAGGGCTCGCCCCTGGGGTCAGGCAGGTTTAGCCTCTCTCTGCAGCCCCTGTTCAAAGGCTCCCTAAGGACAAACCCACCCTTCCCTCTCCCAGCTGCGGCTGCAACTGCTGCAGAGCACCCGACTCCCTTCACGGACTGGTTCCTAAGATGCATCAGCCCCAGGTGAGCCCCCCCCCAGCTCCCAGCCCCCCGTGGTACCGTGGAGCAGGAGCAGCCAGGCTGGGATCCACTGCGGGGGGCGCATGGCTGCGGGAAGGGCACGATTCCCCAGTGCAGTGCCCCGGGTGACGGGTCCCTCCTCCTGCGCCTTTGCCCCCGGGGTGAAGGATGCTGGATGGGAGGGAGAGGCCTGGGAAATGGGGGTTGTTGTCCTGGGCACTGACAGTGAATTCTGCTGCTAAATAAAAGCAAACAGCAAAATCAGCACAAAGTCCAAAGATCCTCCTGGAGCAGAGGTGGGGCCGAGCCAGCTCAGCTGCCTGTGGGGAACTCTTCTCCCGTGTCCTCTGAAACCTCTGTCCTCTGGAGCCGCTGAGAGCTGATGGAGGTCCCTGGGTAAGGGGCAGGTGTGTCCCCAAGCTTGCCTTCCTCCTTATCTCCTCCTGCTCTAGTGCAAGGTGTCCCTGCCTGTAGCACGGGGTTGGAACTGCATGAGAATTAAGGTCCCTTCCAACCCAAACCAGTCTGTGGTTCTATGATTCTACAGCATGGAGCAGTGCAGAGCATCCTCCATGGTTCTCCTCCACCAGCTCACTGAGGGGTGCAGAGCATCCTCTGGTCATGCTATGGTGGTGCCCAGCCCAGTGCCCAATGGCAGCCCAAGGCTGGAGCTGGCAGAGACTGGGGAATGCAGGCGGAACCCCACAGCCATTGCTGAACGCTGCGCCATGGCGGGGGCTCTGCTCCATGCGGTGACTGCGGTGACCGGTGTCAGCACAGCCACTGTCACCGGGATCCCACTCACCACGAGGTGGCACCAGGACTGCGCTCTGGAGCTCACAGACCCCTCTGCCCTCTCCTGTCCTATCGCTCTGTCCTGTCCTTTCCCCTCTCCCTTCTCCCTGTCCTGTGCCCACCCACCCGGTCCCATCACAGCTCCGGTGACAGCAAATCCTGGTGATCCCGCTGCCATCCTGTTCCTGCTGAGGCTTAGCATGCTCATGTCACAGATGGTCTCCATCCACCTGAGCCTGGCATCATTCTCCCATCCCTGCTTAGAGGACCCCAGGAGGGGTCAAGGGGATCCCCTTTTCCATCGGCCCGGATGGAAACATGCAGGGTGACACCAAACTGCCTCTGTGATGCAGTTGCTGTGGTGATGGTCAGGCAGTGCTTTGCTGCATCCTGCTAATTAGTGTGATGTGCTAATGATGTGTCCACGCATGGTCCTTCCTGGCTCTGCTGCCCTGCCTGCTGCACTGGGCCATGGCTCCGCATGGGAACAGGGGTGTCCCCACACTCCTTTATTCCCAGCTGCTGGATGGTATTAAGCTCACATTCAAGGGATGGGGCTGAGGCTGGTGTGTCCATCCCCATGGTTACAGCGTCAGTGTGAGTCCTGCAGCTGCACATCCTTCTTCTTCCTCCTCTTACTCCTTTTCTTCCTCCTCCTCCTCCTCTCCCCTTATCTCCCGGGGGTGTCACAGGCCACCCCGGCCCCCCAGGGCTGCCCCAGGCAGGGCAGCGTCAACAGGACGAGGCTCATCTCATCAATGCCGTGCGTCCGGTGGGGCCCTTCCCTCCCGCGGGAGGTTTCCTCGAAGACGAGCGGGAGGAAGGCTTTGGGGGACATCCTCCCTTTGTGGGCTATTGTTGGCCTTCCGTCACCTGCACGGCCGCAGGGTGACTCAGGCCGGGGTGACGCGCCCGGCAAACAGGACGCGGCCGGCGGAGGAGGAGGAGGAGGAGGAGGAGGGTGCCGGTGCAGGAATGCGGAAGCAGCGGTGGCACCAGCACCGGGATGCGGTGATGATCCTGCCCCTGCCTGTCCTGGGGATGGGGTGTGGCCAGAGGGTCCCCTCCGCACCCAGCTGCCCTGAAGGGGTGGGGGTCCCGGACCCCATGAGATGGGCCCCTGCTGAGGAAGCACCCGCCTCTGGGGTGCTGGTGGGGACCCTACAACGCTCCAGCGCCTCTGGGGTGCTGGTGGGGATCCTACAACGCTCCAGCGCCTCTGGGGTGCTGGTGGGGACCCTAGGATGCTCCAGCGCCTTGGCCGAGCTGCAGTGGTGGTGGTGGTGGTGCCAAGCAGGACTGGGACAGGCACAGAGGATGTCCTCCTCCCTGCAGAGACGTGCAGGGTCTCAGCATGGTCCCCACACCTGCCCCTGTAGCTCCTCTTACAGCCCCCCCCCAGCCCATCCTACAGTCCAGCACAATCACCCCAGATGAGGACAGGGAGAGGTCATTCCACCATGGCAGGGGGTTGGAACCTGATGATCTTAAGGTCCTTTCCAACGCAAACCATTCTATGATTCTATGATTCACCAATGCCATGGGCAAACCAGGCTGACCTGGGGAAATGAATTCAATTTATCACCAACCGAATCACAGTAGGATAATGAGAAATAAAAACTAAATCTCAAAGCACCTTCCCCTAACCCCTCCCTCCTTCCCAGGCCCAGCTTCATCGCAGTTTTCTCTACCTCCTCCCTACAGCTGTGCAGGGGGATGGGGAATGGGTGCTGTAGTCAGTTCATCATGCATTGTCTCTGCTGCTCCTTCCTCCTCACACTCTTCCATGAGTGCATCCTTCAGGAGCAGAGGGCTCCGGGCTGCAGGTGGAGATCTGTTCTACATGGACCTTCCCAGGCTGCAGGGGCATATCCTGCCACCCCACTGTCTGCACCACAGCTGCAGGTGGAGATCTGCTGCTCCATGGCCAGCCGTGGGTCCGTCTTGGATCTGGCTGCATTGGCTCCCTCCATGGGGGAAGCTTCCAGCAGCTCCTCAGGGAAGCCACCCTGTCCCTTCCATCAAGCAAACCCTTTCACATGGACCCAGCACATCCCTGTACCAACAATCCCCAATTAAGCACCTCCCCAGGGGACCCCAGTGGACCCAGAGGAGCCACTGTCTGGTGGCTGGCCTTGCAGAGCCCCACCAGTACCCGGGTTGTGCTGTGACTGTCACCACATCACCATGTCAGGCCTTGGTACAGGTTTCATGTTGTGCCCCGACTGCCCCCTCCCTGCGGCCACCTCTCAGCCCCAAATCCCCAGGGGATGGCACTTGGGGTCCTGGCTGCCAGGGTAAGGGGAGGAGAAGTCACAAAGAGGGTCGAGCATCCCCAACCCTGCCCCGCGAGGTCTGGGGAGGCTGAAGGGTAATGTCCTGCTGCAGTGCGGGTTCCTATGGCCTCACCCACCACAACACCAGCATGGTGCCAGAGGCTGCACTCGCAGCTCGCAGCCTGCAGCTCCCCCACCTCTGTGCGTGGTGCTGCCTATGAGAGCCCTGGCAGAGGGGTTCTGTGCCCTCCCATCGCCCCCCGGCAATGGCTGGGGTGACCGGGGGAGCGGCACAGGGTTGCAGGAGAACCCATCTGGTGGGGGACTGCAGGGTAGGGTAGGCATGGGGGGTGCCAAGGCAGGCTCCTGCAGCCCCTGGGTGCCAGGGCAAAAAGGTGGAACTGAAGGAGGGTCATGGCCAGGCTGGGGGGGTCCCATTGCCCTGGGGGCTGTGAGTGGGGGTTCCACGGGAGGGAGTGCGGTGGGTCCCGGCCGGGGGTGCCCGGGAGAGGGGCGGGCAGGGGCGGGCCGGGGGGCGGTTCCCATCCCGGGGGCCCGGGGGCCACATGACCGGGCGGGATACGGGGCCGGGCCGGGCTCTCACAGCCTACAAATGCAGCTCCGCCGCGGCGGGGCCGCCGCCGCCGCTCGCAGCCCCCGGCATGGCCGCGCCGCGTTGGTTCCTGGCGCTGCTGCTGCTCCTCTGGCTCGCCCTGGCCGCCGCGGGTGAGTGCAGGACTCCCGATCCATCCCCTTCCCCGGTGCGGCGCCGCCCGGTGCCCGAGCTGGCAACGGGGCGAGGAGCGGGGCTCGAGGTCCGGCAGCCCCTGCCAGTGCCGGGCTGGGCAGGACAAAGCGCTTTTCGTGATGCCAATAGCTCCCCGTGCCCGTCCGTCCGTCCGGCAGCAGAAACAGCAGCAGCCAAGGGCCGGGGAGCAGCCACCGACCCGCCCGACGCCACGGGGATGGCCGCGGGCAAAGTCGGTTCTGGCGGCTGGACCCTACCCGGCTGCGCTGCCCGCGGCGGGTCCCGGCACGGCCTCTGCTCAGCAGATTGCGGCCACACCGGGACCGGGACATGGACTGGAGCTGGTGCTGCTGGGACTGGAACTGGCCCTGGCACTGCAGCATCTCAGCCTGGCACCCGGGACCGGGATGTGGGGAGGAGGCAGTGCCCGGGACTCAGCGGGTGCTGCCCACCGATGGGGCACGGGGGCACAGGGGGTGGCTCTGGGGAGCTCTGGGGACAGAGCCTGAGGCTGGTCCGTGCCCTCACAGTGGCCACGGCCGAGAGAGGTGGCCCCGCTGGGTGCAGGTGGCCTGGCCCAGCTCAGCGCAGGAAGCACTCGGCCGGCCAATGGCTCCTGCTGGGGGCAATTCAGGAAACGGGTGGTGCTGGCAAAGCCCATGGCTCCCACATCCCCACCCCACGTGCAGGGGCGAGGGACCAGGCTAACGCTCTTCCCGCCATCCCCAGGGCCACTGGGCGCTGTACCAGGCGGGCAGGATGTGAACCATGGCCTCATCCGGACACTGGTGCGGCCACGGGGTGCCCGGCTCGGGGCTGGGCACCGGCCCGGTGGCTGGCGCAGGTACCGGAGACCCCGACCCCGGCTCTCACACAAGGGCCCGATGCCCTTCTGAGGCAGGTGAGGAGCAGTGGGGACAAGGGGGACCATGCACACACATGTGATGCTGCTGGGAGGGACCTCACAGATCCTGACTTTGCTCTCGTTGCAGAGGTGTCCCCAGCCTGCCCTGGATGCGGCTCCCACCACCCGTACAGTGCCACAGCCTGTGCTGCTCGTGCCCCAGCCCTGAGCACGGACTCCCACCCGTGAGCCCTTGGCTGGAGTCACCTCGTCCCCATGGCTGCACCTGGAGGCCCAGCACCGTGTCTGGCTTGTGGTGCTGCTGGTGCTGCCGCGATGGTGGGCTTTGACCAAAGCACTTTCAGGCGGAGGAGCTGCTCCAGCTTGCCCTGGGTGGGGAGGTCTTATTTATTCCCCTGGTGCTAACCCTGCACCCTGCGTGAGCTGCTCTGCCCTTCCCACTGCCAGCCCCCCAACCCCAGGGAACCCCAAGGCATGGGGCGCCTGCCCCGAGCACAGGGAGGCTCTGAGCCCCTCTGCCCATGCCATGACATGGGACAGCAGGAGAATGGGGAGCACTGGGGTCTCTGTGTCAAGCACTGACATATGCCAAAGGAGGGGCCCTTGCTGTGAGCTGGGCCCTGTTGACCATGTCTCATGTCTGTAAAGATTTATTCTGTGTAAATACATGTTTGTAATAAAGAGTTCTGATGACAGGAAACCCTTGGTTCTGAGGTGTGGGCAGGGGGTGCCTGCACTGCCCTGGAGCCTCCCAGGGGCTCCCAGGATCCTGTTTCCCCCTGGAGCTGCCTGGTGGCAGCTGGGGTGAGGGCAGCCCCTTCCCCAGCCCAGGGCTGGTGGAGAAGATGCCCAGCAAAGAGTGGGGAGGAGGGAAAAGACACAGGGGGTCAGAGCCCCCTCTGCAGAGGGGCTGGTAATATAGAAGGGGACGGTGGAAGGGCACAGGGATGCTGGTCCCAGCCAGGGCAGCCTCTGCAGAGGGGCTGGGGAACGCTCTGGCTGTGGAGCAAAGACCCTGGCTGCAAATGCTGCCCTAAACTCCCCGCCTTTATCACCTCCTGGGGTTTATTTTTCTGCTCACCCGAATTCCCCTCCACATTGAGCATAAACTGTGCAGAAACAGCTCTAAAAGTGGGGAGTGGGGTGATAGGAGAGGCTCTGCTGATGACAGCCGTGCTGGCACCTTCATGCCCAGAAGAGAGAACATGGCCCATACTGTCCCTCACTGATGGTGCCCGCTCCTGAGCCACGATAATAGCTCTGGTAGGGCAGTTCCTGCAGGGAGCTGCGGGTGCGCGGTGTTGAGACGCTGCCGTTGCCGTGGTGACCGGCATCCACCCCCCCCATGGGTGCAGCACCATGTCCCCAGGGGATGGGCTGGAGGGGGATGATGCCGGTGGGACCGGCCGGGGCTGTGTTCTGGAGGCTGGAGCTCTCTCTGGGATGGAGCAGCCCCAGCGCTGCGGGACCCCCGGCCTGGCTCTGTTTGACCCGGCTGCACCTGGAGCTGCCGCGCCTGCTGGATTCCCCTGTGCACCATCCGCTCCCCGCGGCCCTGGGCAGCCGTGCCCAGCTCCCCATACACTGCAGCAGCGGCAGATCCCTCCTGGTGTTCCTGCGCCCCTTTCCCTGGCATCCCCCTCCCTGAGGTCTCTGCTGTCCCTGGTGCCCCCCGCATTCTTTCCCCTGGCATCCTGCTCCCAGATCTCCTTGTTCCTGCTGTCCCCACCCTGGTGTCCTCACCCCAGCTCTCCCCATCCCCATGCAGGGGAACGGTACTCCCAGGACAGGACCTCCCACAGTCCCAGCGGGACCCGCAGGCGCGGCAGTGCCCGTGCGGGGCTCCCAAACACCCTATTGTTCGCAGGAGGCCGCCCATGAGCCACATCGCCGGTCGGGGGCACGGGCAGGGGTGGCAGCGATGGCGGGGAGGGGGATAAGGGGTTAACGGGGGCCACTGCGGAGCGGGAAGGCTGCAGCTGCGGGGTGGGAGCAGAGCCCGGGGGAAGCGGGGCCGGGCCAAGCTGCCTCCATGAGCTCATCCTCTGGGAGCGGGGGATGTGGGCCCGGCCACGCGCCAGCGCGCTCTCGCCACGCTCCGGCTCCGCTCCCGGCACTCGCACCCCGGCTTCCAGCCCCAGGAGGCTCCCGGGGCCCGCGGTCGCATCCCCACGCACCAGCGCTGTGGCCACAGCCCCCCCCCCCCAGGTGACCCCAGCTCCCTCCGTGGCCGCACTGGTTGGTGCTGGGGGTTCCATTCCTCCATGGCCACGCTGCTGTGCCGCTACTGGCTTGAACTGGGAGGTCTTTCCCCGCTCCATCACTCACGTCTGAGCCCGCTGCAGGCAGCCAGCACCCTGCCCGCGCAGCCCGTGGGGTGGGGGCTCTGGGTGCAGGCGGTGGGGGGGGCCCCGGCTCCCCCCGAGCAGAGCCCTGCGGCCGTGCCAGGGGCGGCACCAGTGCCCCACGGCTGCATCGGCACCGAGCGCGGGGCTTGGGCTGCAGCCAGGGGCTGCACAGCTGAGCCCTGACCCCGGCCCCCCTGCCCGCCGGGAAGGAGAGGACGCCCCGGTTGGGCTGCGGCCAGGCAGGGCTGGAGGAAAAGGCTCCTGGGCCGGGAGACCGAAGGAATCTCTGGCTCTTCCTGGCCTGGCCGGCTGCCCGCGGGCAGGTGCGGGCGGCAGTGCTCCTCACGCTGCCCCTGTGCCACAACAGCAGGCACGCACCGTGCTGGAGCCCGGCACCGGGCAGTTCCAGGGCATCAGCAGGGGCAGACAGGGACGGGCACTGCTGGAGCTGCACCTCCAGCAGATGTGGCTCTCCAGAGCGTGGCTCTCTGCATGGGTGAAGCCAGAGGCTCACAAGGGCTCCGGAGCCATGGCCAGATGATGGTGACTGTGCTCAGGCTGCTGCCAGGCTGCAGCTCTGGATGGCAGTGCTGCTCCTGATACGATGCAGACTGGTGCTCTCCTGGGTCTTGGCCCACTGAGAGGGGAAACAAGGATGCTGGGAGCACTGGGAGAGGGGATGGGGAGCGGCTAAGCAACCACTGGAGCCCTCCAGGGCCTAGGGACAGGGGCTGGACAGGGCTCACCATAGTGATGCCCATGCAGGAGGACATGGGACCCTCTGCCAGCACCATGGATCTTGGGCACTCATAGCCAGCACTACTGCTTCCAGCTCCCCAACTCCCACCACCAGACAGCAGCAGCAGCCTCAGTCCCACTGATGGCTGTGGTGGGCTGAGCCCCCAGCCTACACGCAGGGCAGGGAGCATCCACCAACAGCCCCCAAGCAGCCCCACTCCTTGGGCTGGGCCCAGAGGATGCACAGGCCGAGGCTCCAGCCCCATCCCAGGAGCTTCGTGCTTGCTCTGGCATTTCCGCCGGCAGTGGCAGGAATGCGGTGGCTGCTGGAACAATACGGCACCTTGCGCCGGTCCCTCTGTGCCGCGGCTGCAGCAGCTGCCCAGCCACAGCCCTGCTCTCAAGGAGCCCTCAGGAAGCACACGGAGATGACACCGGCCACTGTTTCCTGTGGCAGGACGTGCTGGATTCCTCCACCACTGTTCCAGCGGGGCCCAAGAACCCGGACATCACTGCTGTGGCCTGCAACAGCCCTGCGCCATCAGCATCCCCTGTACCTGCTCACTCCGTGCTGATTCCACCATCCCCAGGATGCCTCTGCCAAATGGGGAACTGGCACCGGCCTGCCCAGGGGCAAGAGCAGGAACCAGGAGAACAATAACCTCCATTGCAGCCCCCAGCTCTGCCCAGCACGATGCTGGGAGGGGCCCAGGACAGGCTCAGCTGCCTTTGGGAGGCTTCAGCCCCACAGACAGAGCCCTGGGCAGGGAGGATGGTGGAGCTGAGCCGCAGCTCTGCATCAGGGGATGCTGCAGCAGCCACTCAGGCTGTGCAATGCAGTGACACGGCGACACCAGCACAGCTCCAGGAACCTGGCACAATGGAGGTTTATTCAGAACCAACCATTCCCCAATAAATTACATCATTTAAAAAGTTTAAAGAGGTGGGGTTGGGAGCCCCCAGCAACTCATTCAGCGGGGACCACGGAGCCACAGGGCACCATGGGCTGGGCACTGGCACCGCAGCTCCGCTCAAGCAGTGGCCTCCTGCAGCTGCTGGCCCGAGGTGGCAGGACACTGCTTAGTGTTTCCATGGGACTTGTGCCCCCTCCTGTACCCATCGGCCACCAGCCCCCAGGGGTATCCCCAGCACTAGAGCTGCTCCTCTGGGACTCAGGGTGCGTTTCTGCCTCATCTCCCCTTCTCCTACTTGCACGCTCTAGGGCAGGGCAGCATCCAAGGGCCCCTGTCACCCAGCCTGTTGTACCCTCATGGCGCTGCAAGTGGGGCTGGCTGGGTCAGGAGCTGGGTCCTGCCCCACGCCACACACAGGGGCAGCCCTGATGAACAAGGTGCTGCTCCCTGCCTGCCCCATCACATGTGTCCCAGGGGAAGGTGAGGCAAAGGGAAGGGACAACGGAGAGCAAGACAAGGCTACAGTACAGAAGGCTGGGAATGCAGTAGGGAGAGCTGTGTGCTGAGCCCTGTGCCCCAGGAGGGGGATGAGGGGATAACAACACCCCACTGATCCGGAGAGCCTGAATCTCCAGAGAATCTTCTGGAAAGCTGCAGTCCAGCTTCCATGGCACAGTGATGGGGCATCAGGGCTGGCTGGCTCTGCTGTGGGGCAGAGGGTGAAACATACCCAACACCCGCCCAGGGCTCTTGCAGTACAGTCAGTGCACACCAGCACAGGCACCCGCAGGGCCACGGCACGCAGGGTGAATGCCACAGCCCCTCCAGCAGCGCTCACAGTCTGTGCCTGCCCCACAGCAGCTCAAGAGAGAGGGGGTGAAAAGGAGAGAGAAGCATGACTGACACTGCTGTAGGCCGCTGGCACCGTGCTTGGGCTCCACCAAATCCAGCCTAGGAGAGAGCAGGAGGCTCTTGGCATGGCTGGCAGTGAAGTGAGTGTGCAGGTCCACTGCAGTGCAGGGTACAGCGGTGGGAAGGAGGGGGGACCATGTCCTTCCGACTGTAAACACGGCACTTGGAGGAGCTGGGAGCCTCCGGGGAGGCAGCACAGGGGGGGCTCACTCCTCATCCCCAGCCAGCAAGAAGCTGTAGAGGAAGTTGATGGCGCGCTGGCGGTCCTGCTGCGACTGCTTGGTCACCAGGTTGGGCGGTGGGCGCAGGAGGAGGCTGGAGAACAGGGCGGCTGCAAAGCAAGGACAAGCGTGAGGGACTGGGCACGAGAGCCTGGCGGGGACAGGGGAAGCAGGGAAGTGTCACCGACCGATCATGGTGACGCTGACTTTGTTGTCCTCGGAGTATCGGAGCAGCTCACGGAGGAACGACATCAGGTACCGGAACACACTGCGGTGGCAACGGGGCAGCTGAAAAATCACCTGCAGAGAAGAGAGAAGGGAAGCCCCTGAGCTCCAGCACCACAGCTGGGCCTAGGCTCCACAGGCAGAGCTTCCCTTTTGCACTGTCTTGAGGCCATCGTGTGGCCACTGCATGAGCCACAGGCCTAGAAAGTGAGCACCAAGGTGACACTCAGGGGGCTTTGGCTCCCAGTAACACTGCCTCCAGGATAACAGTGGCCCCAGGCAATTCCCACTGCCCAGGGCCTGCTTCCCATTCAGTTCCTGTCAAGTCCCAGCTCTCACCCCTGTAGCTGTGCAGCAGCAGCACAGAGACAAGAGGTTTCCTGATGCAAACACCGAAAACATGTCCCAGACCTTCTTCCTCAGCCCAAGGACATGCTGGGCCTCGCTTCCCACTTTAAGAGCCAACCCCGGTCCTTCAGGGAAGCAGAGGAACTGCAGCTCTGAGCAGTGGGGTGGAGGCTCTTCACTCCCTGGGGCTGCTCTTCCCGCACGCTCAGGGTGACACAGGCCACACATGGGGTGTCCTTGGGAGCCCCCAGGCCCGCTGGAGATGCTGCAGTGCTGACCTGGGGCAGGAAAGCTCCGCCAGAGCCCCTGGGATGTCCCACCCAGCCCAAGGGGCAGCAGCAGGACCCAGGGGCAGCTCTGTACCTGCCGGCAGAGGCGGCTGCTGTGTGACCAGTCCAGGCACCGCTGGTACAGCTCGTAGCAGATCACCGGCTCGGGCAGCGCCTCCAGGAAGATGAGGAGAGCCTCAGCTACCGAGTGGTTGCTGCCCGCTGAGCTCACAGGAATCAAGGGCCATGTGAGGAGATGGAACCTCCCTCTGCCCACCCCTGCAGCCTCCCTGCATGGTGCCCATCTTGCTGCACCCCCACCCCAAAGCCACCCTCCTCCTTCTGTTAGCCCCCACCCATGGAAAATGCTCATCCACTCCCCCTCTGTTGCATTTGCCCCTCTCCCCTCCCAGCTCCACATAGATCCTCTGCTCCATCAGCCGCTCCTCAGCTCCAGCCCTTGACACAGTCTTGCAGAAGCTTCCAGAGCTGGGGCCCTGTGGCTGTGTTAGCCAGCACACGTTCAGCTTCAGGAGAGGTTATCTCAGAGGGAATAAAGGGGACTCTGCAGCTAAAGGCCACAGATGAGCTCTCCCAAGGGCTGTGATCCAGCAGGATCCTGCAGAAGTCAGGCACAGCAAGGATACGGATTGTCTCAGGGATACTGGTGTCCAGGCAGTCAATGATCTGCTCCAACTCTTCCTGCATGCCTGGAGTCTGGAACAGGTCCTCCTGCCGAAAGCAGCATAGGGATGGACAACATCACCTTCCTCACAGTGACAGTGGGGTGGAGGCTGCGCCCCCCAAAGCAGCCTCAGCTGCAGGGCCCAGTGATGAATGTGGCACCCAGCACACGGGGCTCTGTCCTCACCTGGTGGCAGGCGTGCTTGAACAAGTGGTCCACCAGCAGCCACACCTCCTTTGGCACCTGCAGCGGTGTCCCCCCGTCCTCCTCGCTCTCCAGGGAGCCCATCTGCAGCACAGACTTCTCCTGCGGCCAAAAGCACACAGAGGTGTCGGGGAAACGGCAGTCCCCTCAGAAGGGCCTGGGTGGAGAAAGCCCAGAGAGCAGAAGCAGCAGGACCCAGCACCCGTCCAGCCTCACTTGCTCCTTCAGCGCAGAGCCATCGCTCCCCAGGTCCCTTGTCTTCTCAGGTTCCTTTCCCCATTTTCCCTAGGGGAGCATCTGCTGCACACAGACTGTCCCAACACCACATCACGTTTTCCCACTTACTCATGCAAAGCAGCTGATGAGCTCAAGCTCAAGTGCTCAGGAGCCTCCAGCAGTACAATCTTTATGGGGACCAGTGATTGCTTGATTTTACTCTCATTTTACGGTCCTCCTGTTCCTGTGTGCTCCCAGGCCAGAGCCATGCACTGCTCCCCTGCAGCCCATTCAGCAGACCCCCAGAAGAGACCAGCAGGAACAGGAGTAGAACCAGGGGACACAACCCAAGGACACCAGCAGAGGAGCATCACAAGCCAGATGCAAAGCGCTTTCTTCCAGCAGACAGCTTCCGTGACAATCACAGAATCCCAGCCTGGTTTCTATTGGAAGGGACCTTAAAGCTCATTCAGTCCCAGCCCCCTTCCATGGGCAGGGACACCTTCCACTAGGGCAGGCATCTCCAACCTGGGGACAGTGGTGGCTCCCCCTCACAGTCACTCACAGCTAGTGCCTTGGCCCCGGTGGTGGCCACAGACAGAGCCCAGCTCTGCCCTGCACACTGCCAGCAGGCACTAGGACATGCTGCCCCCTCACCCAAGCACACAGTGGAGGCTGGGAAGCAGCGTGTCAGGCAAGAGCGTTACAGCTTCCCTTCCTTCGAGGGGGAAGCAGTGAGAGCTGTGCAGCCTCCCTGCGAGTCAAGGGCTCCTCAGCAGCAAACCCCAGGCCAGCACCACTGCAGCACAGGGGCACAGTGCCAGAGGCTGCCCTTGGCATCACTGGATAGCTGCAGACACCCCCAAGGCACAGACCCCGGTGGCTTAGAGCAGAGGAAGAGGAGATGGCTCAGAGCTCCTTAAGATGAGGAGGAAGAGCAGGAGCCTTCGGCTTCCCGTGTGCCTTGGCCGGGCACCGAGCGCCCTCTCCTGCCGTGTGCGGGCAACGGAAGGCGAAAGAAAAGAGAAAGGGAGGAGGAGACCTGGTTGCAAAGGCTCTGCCCAGAGGCAGGAACCAGGCTCCTCCCTCCCCTCTGCCAGGACCAGCCTGGGAGCTTCATCTGGTTCACCACCTGCCTTCAATCCCCTCTTGAGAGGGTTCATCCATTCTCTCTCCTGTTTTATCCTGCCACTGCTCTGGCAGCGTGGGGATGGAAAAGCCACCCAGCCCAGGACACCAGCACAGAGCCAGCTCCAACGAGCCACCAAAGGTGTGGACAGGTGCAAGGGAGCAGGAATGTACCTGTCACACATCCCAGCACCTCCCACCTGCTCCTCAGTGGCAGATCTGACCCGCTCAGCCTCCAGTGCAGAGCACGAGTGCAAAGCAAAGCAGGGACCCTTCCCTTGGGCTGTGAGGCAGCAGAGGAACATCTGTCCCCGTGCAAGGCCCTTCCTCAGCCTCCACAAGGATGCAGCAAGATGGGAGGAGCAGAGTATGTCAGCGTTAATTCAGCCCCCTTTGCACAGGGTGCCGAGGTGAACCCCACCTGATGGGCACGGTTAGAGGCAACTCACGTATGCTACAGGGTGCCAATGGTTTCACTGCTGGAATAAGGGGAGCTCTGTGTCTGTCACCAGAGACAGCTGCTGAGCTCTGATCAGCAAATTGGGCTCACCCCATCCTGGCTGCAGGGTCACTCTGTGCTCTGGCAGTGGATGGGATGTGTGGGATGCAGCTCTCATGCAGCCCACAGTGTTGCTAAGGGGTTTTGCTGGGACAAACGCTGCCTCTGCACCCCGTTCCCTTCCCTCTGCAGCAGGCAATGGGGATACCCACTCGCTACAGACAGGTCATGAGAAGCAGGACCCCAGCAAGGAGTTGTGTTACCTTTTCTAAGAAGCTGTCTTCTCCCTGAAAGCAGTGGGAAAGAGAGAAGAGGAAAAAGTATGGTTAGGGGGGAGAACCACGCTCCAAGTAAGCAGAAAGCCAGTTTGCATCACCAGTGAAAGCTGGGTCCTCATGCGTTCTGCTGACATGGCCGAACTTAAATCTGCTGCGAGAGATCTGCCTGCCAACGAGCACAAATCCTGCTCACATGATGCCCAGCCTCGCCAGGATTTGTACCAACTCCTCACAGGGGCCTGCCAGCAGCGCTGCTCACATACAGAACAGCCCAGGCTGAGAGGTGTCTGCCAGGATGAACTTCCCAAAGCTTCCCAGGCAGAAATCAACATTCCCGCATCATTCCAGCCACCTTCCCCCCTGACCAGGCCACATCTAAAACATTCAGTCTGTGCTCCTCAGCTTGTGGCAGCTGTGGAGCTGTCAGGCCCCCTAAGCAGCTTTGTGCATTGCCAGGGAAATGAGTGTTTGTGCTCAAAACCCCATGCTGCCTCTACCTAATAGCATTAGCATGCCGCACGGAGCTCAGCAAAGCCCCTCCAGGCTGCATGTCCCATCCCTCGGGCAACCCTGACATCCAGCATCCACCAGCACGCTGCAGGCTGGTGGGGCAGAGGGGAGAAGCTGTTGGGTGGAGCCCACAGGAGGAAACTGAAGCACGTTGCCCAAGCTGAGCTCGATGGATCAACATTTCAGGGTGGGAGTAATCAGAACGCATTCAAGGGCTATGCTTGACACAACCACACATCCTGATGCTGCCCGGTGTCTTGCAGTGCTGCTGCCTTTGGAGGCTTGCTCAGCCACAACAGCCCAGTCTCTTGCAGGGCACAGCTTGCTCAGAACACAAGCTGATGCAGGCTCCTCGCCCGGTCCCAAGTTTGGGAATAAGCCAGCCAGGCTGCACAGGAGCCTGCTCCCTTCTGAGTCACCTCAACAGTCCCACCCCCACCTACCTGACTGACTGCCCTGCTCGTCACCTCTCTTCTGTGCTCTTCAGCACCACTGGCTCTGTGAGAATAACCCGCTCCTGGCAAAGATCCTTCAAGAGGCTTTGTAAAGCCCACAGTAGGATCCCAAGACAAAACCACGGTGAGACTCTAACACTGCAATCCCAAAGGTGGGATGCTCGAGCATCAGCAGCTTCTCCCAAGAGAACCAGGAGCCATTTCCAAGCAAGCTTCCACCTGCTGTCTGCTACCCTGCATCGAACCACCTCTCAGACCTTGTCTGGGTTCTCCAAGTCTCCCTCTGCTGAAGGCAACACACAGCGCCCAGCCAGGCTGAGAAACGCACCCACTGCAGTGAATGATGAGCCCTAACACTACCTACATGCAGGAGGGGAAATGGTTCTACACACAGACACACACACACAGTGCCTGCCTCATGCACAGCCTAACTCTCAGTGAAATCACACAAGGACCAGAACACATCTGGGTAGCACAGGCACTGCTCTGCCTGTGGGAAGGGCTCCTCCGGCCCCATGGCATTTCCCACCGCACAGATATGATCAAAACCAAAAGACCTAAAAATAGCTCTAACATGACAGCAGCTTTATAATCCAAGTGACTGCATTTTGCTTTGAGCGGTTACATGGTGCTCCGTGAGTTTGCTTAGCTTGTTATGATCAAGGTCTTGAAGTCACACTGACCTCCCCAAAAGCAGAGACTATGCTGCAGATATGGTGACAGGGTGCTTTTCTCTCACTGGTTTACTTCCTGTATCTGGTTTGCTTCCTGTACTTCTGTACATTTCACTGAACAACAGAAGGTGGTAAAGGAAGCAGAATAAGCCTCAAAAGTACCCTTAGAAAAGCAACAATGTGTGTCTGTGAGGGCAGAAAATAAGAGTGGGCCTGAGTTCCTGTCCATCAAGCGAGAAATGAGTGCTGAACACTGAGCAGGAAAAGGCAGGTGGAACAGCCCCAGGACCGATGAGATGCTCCAGAACAAGTTAAGACACTTTTAGAACAAGACTGATTTTCAGCTGAATCTTGAAGAGCATGAGGAGCCTGCAGCCAGGATGAGCTGTGTGAATGGAGGAGGCAAACCCTGCATCTCACCTCCTGGGCTCTGCTTCACCTGATCTTGTGATGGCAGAACCAGAACTCTGGTATAAAACCACCCTTTCTGTATGCTGGGCCTGGGAGAAAAGCAGACACAGCCAGAGGTGGGAATGGCAGAAGGCAGCAAGAGCCTGGTGTAGCTGCTGGAGAGCTGGGTCACAGTGGTCAGAGGGAGAGGAACTGGCCAGAGAGGCTGCGAGACTGGCCACGGGCTGAGCTGCACCCATCAGCACACTGACCAGCATCAGAGTCCTTCTCTTGGTCCTGCTTTTGCTTGTTCCTCCCCTTGAACAGTGCAAGTGCCACAACCAGCAGAAGGAAAAGGACCCTGGAGCCCTGTCACTGCAGCAGCAGCCTGGGCACCTCAGAGGAGAGCATTTCAGGCATACCTCTTGTGACACAGCAGTGCCACCCGGCTGAGGCTGACAGTACCACAAAGCACAAGGTGCTGGGATCCCTTTTTGTTCCTCCAAACAACATTTAGAACCTACTCAGAAACTGGGATAAAGCACTTGCTGTTCAAAGCCATTGGTTGTGGTGGAGGGAAAGAACAAAGGAGCATAGGAAAGGAGCACAGAAAGGAGCTCCAGAAAAAGTGCCTCAGCTAGGAGCCAGCGCAGCTGACCCACACTGAGGGCATCACTCCTGCTTTTAGGAGTAAAGAGAGGGGAAATTGCTCTCTCCCTGTTAGGGAGCTGCTCCAGAATGCAGCTACTCACCAGGTCAATGAGTTTGGTGACTGGAACTTCTCGGATCGGTCGTCTCATTCGGCATAAGGCCTCCAGGGAGGTGCCGAAGCAGCTGGGCAGGTAGGTCCCACTGATGGTGAGGAAATAATCCTTCCCCCGGTCCAAGTGAAGGACAAGAATATCCTCAATTTTATCCTCACCGGAGTTCAGGAGGGTCACCGAGTCCTTGCTGACGTACACGTCCAGGGAGATGTCTGTGCTCTCATCTGCAACAGACAGGAGCTCTCAAGAACTCACAGTCACTCTCTAAAAGGGGCGACAAGGACAAACATACAGCAGCAGGGACCAAGGCCACAGAACCGAGAAGACAAACAGACAGAAGCAATGGCAAGAAAGGTGAGACATGGGAATGACAGGATGGACGGGATGGAGGTGGGGGGGGAATCTACACCAGCACACATGGAGAAACCACGGTGAAGCTCACCTGGCTCCAGGTAACCCTCACAGGGCTCGGCTCGCAGCCATGGCTTACAGTAGTGGTTGTCGTTCAGCTTGGGGATGAAGGAGAAGTGGCAGGTGACCTGCCCATTGTTGGTGATCTGGAACTTCTGCTTCTGCAGCTGACGGAACTTCACGTTCTGAAACTCAAACTGCAGGGCAAAGAGAAAACACAGAGCAGGTTAGCAGCCAGGAGGGGACACACAGGTAGGCCCCCAGACTCTGCAGCAGCAGCCCGTGACAGGAAGTGCCCACACAACGCAGAACTCCCAGCAGAAGACCTGCCAAGAAGCCAAGCCAAGATGTCCCTTCTAATCCAACTCCTGAGCATAAGATAATGGGTAAAGTCCAATTTCCCATAATCCAGTTTATGGAATCAAAGTCTTTAAAAGTAGCTCTAGCACTTCCATGGCTGCTGTGTAGGGCAGTGACAAGGTGGGAAGTGGCAGGTTTCATCCTCACTTCTCTCCTGCTTAGCTCCAGCGAAGGCAGGAAGTCGTTCTCCATTCTGTCCATTAAGCGAACAATGTCTTCAAACAACTTGCGATACTTCTGCTCATCCACAACCTTTACCTGTGGGAGACCAGGAAACACTCAGCAATCTTCCTGACCCCCTTCACTGGGACTCTTTGATCATGAGCCAGCTGCGGGAGTGAACTATTTCTCTAAGCACTTGCTACGTGCAGCTGGGAACCTGAGAGAATCCACGTATGTGGAGGCACCTCCAAGCTGTGTGTGCATCTTCACTTGTGTTTTACCCCCGCTGATGTTACCTGGGTCTTCCTGGCCACTGACCACACTGCTGGGAGATTCCTGGGGGTGGTCTCTGGGGTCAGCACTGGCACCCCACAGCATTACACGATTCTCTAGAGGAAGAGGAGAAAAGCTCTCCTTTAAGGAGGCCTGAGCTACCTAAGGAGTAGTAGGTAGCAAATATGGACATGGACCGTCTCCACTTGGCAAGCTGGGGAACCCAAACCTGCTGCCAGCTGTTCAGCACTAAGAAATCCAGATGTGAACCAGTGACACACTTCTCTTAACACACCAGAGGCAACACTGCAACAGCAGGGACACCTATTGCAGGTTTCTGCTGTGTCTATTTGTGGAAGAAAGAAACCAGCAGCTCACCCACTAGCAGCAGTAGCTATCCTGGGTTATACCCTGGAAGCCAAGCAGCACCACTGAAGCAGTCACTTGCAGTGACTGCACGACCACACCAGTTGGGGTAAACCCCAGATTTCCCCTGTTACCATGGGGCGACGCTGTCCTGGCCACAGCACTGTGCTGTTTGCTGCAGGAGCCAGCACTCTGCAGCACGCTTCCTCCATGGACACACTTTGGCTTTACTACTCTGTCCCACTGCAACAGCACTAGCAGAGGTACCTTGGCTTCACAGCCCCACCCCAGCACATGAGAGTCGTTACCCCGATGCGGAAGAGCGCGCTGACGGGCTTGTGGTCGCTGGTCTTCAGCTCCATGTGGCTGCCATAGCGGAGCTGGGTGATGCTCCCCCCTCTCCACAGGATCCGGTCGCACCATGCAGGCACACGACACTTCCCACTGTGAAGGGAAACAGGCTGCCAGGGACATCCAGCAATCCCAATGAAGCCTCGAGCTGCTCCTCCTCTCAGCCCAGCAGCTCAGCCACCCCCATGGACTGACTGCAGAGGGGCTGAACTCCCATTGCTCCCCTCCACTCGAACACCGTGCTATTTCTTCTGCTCTCTTCCCCCTTCCCTGTGCAGTAGGCTGAAATTCCCCATCCTTTCCAGCATCAGGCAATAAACCAACGTCAGCCACGGCTGCTTTCACAGACTGAAGCCATGTGTACTATGACCCGGGCTGCCCTGGTTTCTTTTGCTGCCGTATCTTTCTGCCCACTACAGTCTGACCCATTGCTATTGTTTCCACTATGAAAAGTCTACTCAGCTATTACTACTCGGTTATGAACTCTGAATTCTGGGCTATCTTTCTGCAGATTAACTACTGTGCTAATTCATAAACACAGGCAGAGCAAAACCCAGTCTCTGAATGGTTTGTAAGTCCTCCTTGGGAGTTTCTCCATTTGGAGCAAACTTCTGCAGCAGACACAGGAATACCAATGGGAGGCACCAAGCAGGAATCACTGTGCAGGTCAGGGAACAGGCCGACCCAGAGAGCGCTTCCTTAACCTCTCTAATTCCTTTCTCATCCTTTGTCTGTCTCTGGCAGCAGAACCCCCCACCAGTGCAGGGCCATCTCTGAGTGCACGCTTCACCCCTTGGAATCAGCAGCAGCTGAGGTTTAAGGCAAGTCCCTGGTCAACGGACACAGGCTCTGCCTATTCCAGACAACAGGGACAACAAAGGAATGTAAAGCTGTTTGTACTCCAGCCACCAGCACAGCACTGGGGGGACTGCCAGCTCCAGGAAGGAGGAAGTCAAGTTTTATGAGGAACTGCTTTTTGTGTAACAGGTAAAGGTATGCACAGGCAGGTGATTTACCTGGAGTCCCAGCGGTCTGTTTTAGAGTCATATTTGTATGTGGGGATGAATTTAATCTCTCCCTCGGTGAAATCGGCAAACGCCTTCTTCTGCATGCGCTGAATATTCAGCTGAAGCAGAGAAAGAACACTGTAAAACACACCAAACCCACCCAAACACTCCCCCAACACATAGAGCAGTGTCAGAGAGTAGATCTACAGGCAGAGTAATTGGAGCCTGGGGCTATGGGGTTCACCAGACACCCCCAAACCACCTCCCAGACCTCAAACCTTCAAAAAAGGTAAAACCTCAGCAGGAATGGAATGTTTCCTAACCAGACTGAGCGCCCTCTGGCACAGTGCTGCCCACTGAAACACGCAGGCAGAAAACAGCACTAAATGGAAATATTAGTTGCTTCACTCATGCTAAACACCTTCATTAGTTTTCAGGCTTAAGCATCACCATCACAAATACTTCAGTGCCGATCACTTCAGCAGCAGCCTCCCGCAGGGTGCTGGGCTGACAACCTGGCACCACCTTCCTGTTCCTCAGTTGTTTTCCTCATAAAAAATCCAAGCTATTTGCTGCACGAAGCCCCACAGGACAGAAATGAGCTTCAGAGCAGAGCCAACCAGATTCACTGTTGTGTGTCATCGAGATGGTGGCACACCATGTCTGTTCACGTTTCACAGGTACAGCCCTTCATCTTATAGGCACATCTTGTGCTATCCCAATTTTCAGCGAGCTTCAAGGAAATGCTGAGTGGGGAAAGCTTCAGCAAAGAACTGGGGTCAGCCTGGCTGAGACAGGGCCTTGCCCTGGCTACAGGTGCTGGTCTCCAAATCAACACCTCCTCCAGAACACTGACTGCAGCAGCTGTAGTTGCTGTTACCAGTTCTGATGTTCTAGTCTGCAGTTTGTACGTAAGAGAGGAAGAACTCTGCCACTGAGATGCAAAGATACAGGAATTGCCAGAGTCACACAGTGAACGCCAATATAAGGTACAATCTGCTTTCGTTTGCAGGGTTGATGTCACCAGGACACCCCCAGCTCTGTCAAGGGTCTACATCTGCATATACAGATGCTTATTTGCCAGCTCCTCCCAAGCCCAGGCGTATGCCAAACCAAGATGCCCTCAAGAGTACACAGCAAATGTAAGCAGAGTTCACTGACCTGGTCATATGTCAGCAGCTTCTGAAGCTCGTTCTTACTGATGAGACTTTTCACTTCACTGGCATCAGGGAGACAAAGCCTGTAGTTCAAGTCTCCCAGCCAGATGACAACACTGAAACCAGAGGCAAACATGCAGAAGAGCCAGTAGTTATTACCACAGGCCATGCAGGGGAGAAGGGTGTAGGAGAACAGATGGTGGGTGGCTGGTGGTTGAGGTTGAGAAACATGGAAGACGAAAGGAGACATGAAAGATTGAGTCTGCCAGCAGGATTTCTGGCACTACAGCACTAACCCCATCCCCTTTGGAATCCCTCATAGGACAGAAGACTTGATTTAGTGGGAGATACTGGAGCTTGCCTCAGTTTGAGAACATCCCCACACCACCACCAACTCTAACGAAGGGAAAGCTGCATCTCAGCACCTTCATAACCTCTCGGGCTACACAAAATCCAGGGGGTGGTGAGGCTCTGCTGGTGCACAGAAGAGGGCAGTGACAGGGCTCGTTACGCAGGGCTGGGCTGTTGGGCTGCTCTAACACCACAGCTTTGCCACTTCCTTTTCCACTGCCTTCCTCTCGGGCAGCCCAGGCCAATGCTACATCCCCTGCCTAGCACAGACGGGCTGAGGTAGAGCTGCCAAAGCACAGCTGGGTTCCTGACAAGTTTATGTCTCAGCTGCACCTCATCAGTGCCTGCTCTGACCCTGCTCCTCTCTGGGCCTTCTAACAGGCCTTCATCCTTCCCATCACCAGCACCTAAGAAACACTTGTGCTACTCGCTCTTTACCCCATAAAGGTTTCATTTAAAGATTAAAATCTAAACCCCTCTCTGGCATCAAAGCTCTTCCTGTTTATAGCCAAACCTCAACATTTCCATTAGCAGAAATCAAGGATAATCTAGTATTTGGAGTTTTTTCTGTACTATAATCCAGTCTGCATTTTATTTCCAGTTTTTAAATGGTTTAAATGTTAACTACAGAAGTATTAATCATTTGCATCAGGTTTATGAAAACTTCACTTATGTGCTTTGTCACACACGTGGCTGAGTCTGATTTGGATTATTCAACACCTAAAGGGAAATCAGCCGAGCAAACTCACTCGTGTTTCATGATGTTGACGTGAGGTAGGCTCTCATCTGGGGTTACAAAACTCATCCGAGCACAGATGTCCTTGTAGTCCTGATTCCGCCGCTCGAAGTCCTCCACATGCGCGGCGAGGTGGGAGTTGACGATGCAGAAAGTGGTGTTGTGGAACACAAACCTCACGGCCACACCGCCCTTGTTGCCCTGGGGGGAGCAGGGAGCAGCAGTGAGAGAAGGTGAGGCCTCGGGGAGGAAATGGGATGGCTCAGATGGGGACAGACCCAGTCGTCCTGTTCTTGCAGGGGCTGGTGCTGGTGACTCACCATCTTCCCCATGACTCCCGTGCCCACAGACTCCGTCACAATCTCTCTGATATTGCTCAGCTGATCCTTCTTTGCAAATATGAGCAGCATCATCCCAACCAGACGGACCATTTGCACCTGCAACAGTAAAAGGGATCCTGGATCTTCAGTTCCCAGCCTGCCACTGAGATGCAGCACCTCGGATCTCCCTGCTGTTCTTATTCTCTGGCTCTTCTTCTCTCTCTCTTCCTTGTCATGTTTTGTAGGCAATCCCTGCTTGCAACACCACCCACAGGACCTCCTGTCCCAAAGCAAGGTTCTGGAGGACAATCTGTCACACCCAGTAGCCATCAGCTGTGTTGAGCTCACTGCAGTCCCCACTCTGGTGCTTCCCTACAAACAAGACTCATCTCATGAGGTAAGAGGAACACAACAAATACGTAGCAGAGCTGCTGGGGAGGTCTCAGCCTTTGGCTCTGCTCAAGTCACCAAAACTACCAGAGGAAGATACCTCCAGTGCTTCAGCAGAGAGCTGCTGGCCACGGGTCCAGCTGGGACTCAGTGCTCACCTTTGCTTACCCAGAACTACCGTGGAGGCAGTGAGGAATGGACAGAAGAGCTTTTGTTTCCTGAGGCAAACACACCTGACACGTGGGGTATCAAAAGGCAGCCCCCCCCCAGCTACACAAACTCTCTGCTTGTCAGAAAGCCCTTGTTCTCTAACGCAAAGAGCCTTTTCCTGGAGCTATGAAGTTCTCTACTGCAGAGCTCAGCCCAGAGGCATTAACACAGCCCTGATGTGTACAGTCCCAGCAGGGAGCTCAAGTCTGCACTGATCTTTCACCCGTGCCAATGCACTCTCCAGCCCAGGACCTCCTGGTACCTTCAAAACAGTAGGGCCATAACTTGGAAAGCCAGAGACAAGGCCTAATCTCCTCGAGGACAGTGCATACACCCCCTTTAGAGGCATAAAACCGTTCAGATGTGTTGGGATTAAGCCTATGCAGCAAGGGGTGAAGCCGAAATCCAAGGTCAGCTGGAAGAGTGACTGAGCAAAACCCAAAGCGAGCAGGACAGGGGTGGGAGAGGCACGGGGGGCTGAGGAGGGTGGGGAAACTGAGTCATGTACTCCTGGCTGGTAGAAATGTTTGCTACAGCAGAGATAAAACCAGGGGCTTGCTCTGAACCAGGCAGAACATCCTGCTGCCACGGCTGAGTTCTGACCCAAGGCAGAAGCCTCGGGAAGACTTCTCCTCATGGGATAATTTATTAACTGAATTTACCAGCTCAAGACATGCCTTGCTTCCACAGTAAGGATGGGAGGGTAACACAGAGAGAGAGCCTGCTGGGATCCTGCTGAACACACCACCTCCCTGACACCCACCTTGTATTCATCACCTTGTTTTGATCCCCATCTTTATAAACTTCTGCATCAAAGCACAGTATCCCCTTACATCTCTGGGGCAGCAACAGACTCTCTAGATTTCATTTGGCGTGTTAACAGCACACACATTCCCAGCACACATCCTTGGTTCCTCCAGTCACTGTGCTTGTGAAGTGGTAGCCTGTTTCTCTTCCCATAGTGCCAGACCCCAGCACTGAAAACAACTCACTTTCTTGTACTTGGCGTGGGGGTGCAGGGCCTTCTCCACAGCAGCCAGCCACTCCTGCTCCTTCACAGAATCAAAGTAGAAAAAAGCCTCCGTGCTGAGGTCCAACTCCTGGAATCTACAAAACCAGGTTCACTGAGCACGTCCCAGCTCACTGAGAGCCCACCCTCAGGGAGGCCAATGTGAAGCCTCCAGTTTGAAAGAGAGGCTCCTTACTCCCACTTGCTAAGTGAAACAGCAGAATTTCCCCACAGTGCCTCCAAGACCCCACACAACACATGCCAGCAACTGTCTCTGACCAGCATTACTCTGGGTAGAGGACAACCAGAGAGCTCTGCGCATGCCCTAAGGGATGTTCTATTATGTCATGCCAGCCTTTAACCCAGTACTCTGCTTCATCCAGCTGGCTCCTACGCCTCAGACAGCTCCTCTGAGACATAGCTCAGCTTTGTGGAACGTCTAAAGAGCTTACACCAAATACAGCCCAGCAGGATCCAAGCAGGAGCAGCAAGAAGCCCAGCACTATGTGTACATACAAGGTGGCTGCTGCTCACCCGATGCAGTAGACGTCTGGAGGCTCCATGTCACACACCAGCCAGGGCTCCAGGCCACTGTCTGGAGATTGCCCATTCACATTCCACGTTCCCACAAAAAATCTGCAACACAAAAGCAGCTGAACCGTTAGAAAACACAGAGACAGTGCCAGTGTCAGCACAGTCTCTCCAATGGGCTCAGAGCACAGAAGCCTCCCAAACGGGCTCAGGGCTCCCAGCCCAGGCTGGGAGCAGACATCTACGAGCTGTCCCAGCTAAGGGGCAACTGAAGCTCTTCCAGGCTTGGTTTTCAGTGACGCTCATCATGCTACAGAGCTAAGGATGTCTCACCATGGCCAGTGAACATCTGGCTTTTTTTAACACCGTGTCATGTGGGGCAGTACTAGGACAGTGTGGTGGGACAGCACCTTTATCCTCCCTTCACCCAAGCGAGGTGTTGAGAGATCAGACATACAACGTGAAGCTGCAGCACAGGCACTCGCTGCCCCTGCCTGGCCACCAGAGCTGCCACACACCAGTAGCTGTGAGGTTTCAAACCGGGGCTGGATGCAAGCTCCCAGCAGAGGTGACAGTGCCGTGGCCCTGCGCTCACTGCTCAGGACAGCTCTCACCTGAAGTTGTGAAGGTTGACGTACGCCTTCTCCCTCTTGGCAAGCAGGTGCTTGATGAGCCCCTCTCGCTGCCCTGACTGGCTGTTGGGCAGGAACATCTTGCGCATTGTGTTGGTCACTTTTGGCTGGTCTCTGGATGAACCTTCTCTCTCTCGGTGGAATCTAGGAAGGAAGCAAGAGCAGCTTCAGAACCAGTTCTGCTGTCTAGGCAGAGAAGGGAAAAAGGGAACAGATTGCCCATGCTACTTACTGCCTGTTCTGAGGCACGGGAGGTGGGGGGGGCTCCCGGCGAGAGCCTGCTTGGTGGTTTTGCCCATTTCTTTTCTCTTCTAGGCTCAGAGCAGTGAAGTCATCCTCAAACCCGAGAGCCCCTGTCATGAAAAAATCAGCACAATGCCTGACAAACCACTTAAAACTGCTCAGATCAAGAAGGAAGGATCACAGAAAGTGAAACCACAAGTGATAATAGCAGTGGAATGGCTTTAACCTGCCCGAGGGGAGATGGGGATGAGCTCTTAGGCAGAAGCTCTTCCCTGTGAGGGTGCTGAGGCGCTGGCACAGGGTGCCCAGAGAAGCTGTGGCTGCCCCATCCCTGGCAGTGCTCAAGGCCAGGTTGGACACAGGGGCTTGGAGCAAGCTGCTCCAGTGGGAGGTGTCCCTGCTCGTGGCAGAGGTTGGAGCTGGAGAAGCATTAAGGTCCCTTTCAACCCAACCCCGTCTGTGGTTTTATGAGAGGTGACAGTGAGTTCAGTACCTGAAGAAGAGGCCTGTGAGAGGCCCGGGGGTTTCTTCTCCACCTGATGCCAGCTGGATGAGTCCTTTGGCTCCATAGGAGAAGCTTTAAGGTGGGCTGGAAAAAATAATTATCAGGCCAGTGAGGAAGTGGTGGCAGTGGGGCCACCCCAAACACCCTGCACCTCTGTTACCTTCCTGGATGCTCTGCACCTCCGCCAGGAACCCCAAGCAATGCTCCTCATCTGGGATTTCAAAGAGCCGCTCTGCTGCCTCATCACCTTGGATCCGGACCTTGCAGCCTGCTGCAGGCACACACAGACACTCTCAGCCCTGCTGGCTGCAGATGCTGCACCCCAGGAGTGGCAGATTTCTGTGTGTCCTCTGAGCTCATCCACGAAAGCCAGCTTCAAGCTATCGCTTCCAATGGAAATCTGCATTTAAGCTAACAGCCCTGTGCTGCTGAGATCCCCCTCCCCAGCTTGGGCTATCATCAGTTATGTTCTCCTGGCTTTAGGAATACTCCTCCCTACTGTGAGCTCTAAAAGTGTGAAAGAAACTTCTGAAGGGGAAAGCCGCACTGGTGACCACCCAGAGCGCTGTCAGCACTGACACAGCCCACAGTAGCCCTGGCTCAAGAACAGGCCAAAGGGATGAAAGGAGCTTTGGGTGGTTCGGAGAGCAGTGCAGGGCCTGGAGAAAGGACTGAAGAAGTTAAACTTTGACCAACTGCCAACACTTTAATCTGGGCATTTAAAACCACATCTGTCATGAGACCCAACTGTCAAAGAGCCAGAGCACATCATCGGGGAAACACAATCCCTGCTTCACCAAAGGCGAGCACAAAGCACAGAGGGAGGTTCTGAAGGTAAAAAGAGTGTGTGGCAGTGCCCAGCCTGATCCCCAAAAGCAGCCATAGCCTCACAGCTGCACTTAAGAAACTTACTGTTTGCAGCTATATCAATCAGCAGCGTTTCTTCTGCCTCTGGAAAGAGAAACATGGGATCAGGAGAGGTCACACGGGATGCTGCAGTAACTGAGCACTCAGAAAGCACACTGCCTGCTGCCAGCCACAGAGGAGCTGCGACCTGCATCTGCACTACTCATGTGCTCTAGCAGAAGGCACAGTCCTGTCTGGACATTCACTTCCCACCACCCCAGAGTCACAGGGGAGGTTCCCACATCCAGACGGTTTGTCCAGCATCACTCTGGGGAAAGACCAACCTGACAATGAACTTGAGAGCTTGCCCTACACACTGAAGGGATGGGCAGAATCACGCTGGGTTGCACAGAGGCTTTCAGCTAGCCCAGGGAAACATGCTTTCATTCCTGAACAAGTAACTGCCCCAGGGATGGGTGCTGCTGTTTCAGTTCTCCCAGGGCAAAGCCTGGAGTTCTGTTCTATTCCGTGGCTGGAAGCTGACAGCTCACCAGCCCCCACAGAAGTTTTGATCTAAACATGCAGGAACCAGAGTAAAGCTCCCAACTCGTGCTCTCGAGAAGCATGAAGACAGACACCAGCAGGCACCAGATTTCAGGCTCTACCTGACATCAAGCCCCCCACTGATGAGCCACCACGTCCCCCCCAAGCTGAGTGCCGGCAGGGGAAGCTGACCCAAGCAGCAAGGAGGAAACAGCATTCCATGGGTGGTAAGTTTTAGTTTCAGGGGGAAAGAGCATCAGGCCCGTGCGGGCGCTCATGGGCAGGGCAAGAACCGCTGAGACGCGGCAGTGCTGGCTCTGGCAGCAGTACCTTGCACACATCTGAAGCGGCTGTTGATGGGGATGTAATCCGGATCGGAGCTGTCCTTCTCCTGGGACTGGATAAGTATCCTGGAGATAGGAGAAAGGCTTGTAAGAGCAGACGAGCAGCTCCCTGCTTGCGTACGGAGGCAGAGGCGAGAGACCCGCACTTACAGATCTCTATCGCTGTACTACGGGAGAGGAGCACGGAAAGGGGCAAACAGCCCCAGAGCCGCACGGGCTGAGGGCGCCGGGGAGGAGGGAAAGGCTGGATAGGGCACTCGGGGCAGATGCGGCCGCATCGGGGGCAGGTGCCCAACGCCCTTTCTGCCGCAGCAGCTCCGTGGTTTCCCGGTCCCCCTCGAGGGTCCCCGCGCCCAGCCCGGAGCGGGCTCGGCGGCAGTGCACGAGAAACAGTTCAGGGACGAGGCGCCCCCACGGCCCAAGATCCCCGTCACCGGCCCGGCTCCCAGCGCGACCGGGCCCCGCAACCCGTCCGCCGGGCCAAATGCCCGCGCCCCGCCGCGGCCCGCACTCACCCGTAGCGGCCGCCCCGCCGAGCCAGGCTGAGCACGCAGGGCTCCCGCCGCCCGGCACGCAGCTCCGCGCCGGCCACGCTCTGCGCCGCTGCCCCCCGGCCCCTCGTGCAGCTGCCCGACCCCGGGCAGCCCCCGCCGGACACGGGCAGGCCCCAGGCCGCAGAGCGCGGCTCCATGGCGGCGCCTCGGTCTCCCGGCGACTCCGCGCTGGTCACTGGCGGCGCGCAGAGAGGCGCCCTCCGCGCACCGCGCTGCCCCCTGCCGGTGGGAGGACTGCTCTGCCTGCGGAGGGGGCGGGGCAAAGCGGGCCTGGCTGCGGGGTAGAGGCGGGGCGGGGCGGGCGCGGCGCAGGTGCCGGTTCCGGTAAAAGGGCCCCGGGAGCACCACGGCCCCGCCCGCGCTGTCTCCCCGCCCCGAGTCCCCGCCCCAAGGGCGCTGATTGGCTTTGCTGGCCACTCATTTGCATGTCACGTGGGGCGCGCAGTGCAGCACGGGAGAGGTTGGCGTTTGAAGCGGGGGGCGGCAGTCAGGGAGCGCACGCAATGGCGGCCCAGCATCTGTCTGCGGAGGAGGAAGAGCGGTACCGGGGGTGAGAGGCTGGGGCCGGCGGGCCCAGGAACGGCGGTACCGGGGGTGGGTGGTGGTACCGGGCGCAACAGCGCTACTGGGGGTGAGCGGCGGGGCCAGTAAGAGTGGTACCGGGCAGTGGCGAGGCGGGGCAGTACCGGGGGTGAGAGGCAGGAACGGGGAGCAGCGGTACCAGGGTGAGCTGCGGGGCGGGTCGGTGAGCCCGTGGCGGGGCTGGCGCAGGCGCAGGCAGCGGCCCGGGGCTGGTGCTCACGGTGTGTCTGTCCCGGGCAGGTTGGTGACCGGCGCGAAGGCGGCGGCGGGCGATGGGCAGCTGGTGGAAGCACTGCGGCTGTTCCGGCTGGCGGCCGCCATCCGCCCCAGCGAGAAGCTGCAGGGACGCATCCAGCGTGTGGAGGAGGTGCTGGCCGAGGTGGTGCAGCGCGGTGAGGAGGAGCCAGAGGAGGATGAAGGCTTCGTGAACGTGTGCGGCAGCGGCTTGCTGATCTACGGGGAGATGCACGAGAAGCTCTTCCAGCACCAGCGGGAAGGCGTTGCCTTCCTGTACCGCCTGCATAGGGAGGGCCGGCCTGGCTGCATCTTGGCAGATGACATGGGCCTGGGCAAGACCATCCAGGTGATTGCCTTCCTGTCGGGCATGTTTGACGCCGAGCTGACGCGGCACGTGCTGCTCATCATGCCCACCACGCTGGTGAGCAGCTGGCTGGCAGAATTCGCCCGCTGGACACCCGGCCTGCGTGTCAAGGAGTTCCACGGCACCAGCAAGACAGAGCGTGCCAGAAACCTGGAGAGGGTCCAGAGCAGGAACGGCATTGTCATCACAAGCTACCAGATGCTCATCAACAACTGGAAGCAGCTGGCCCGCAGGCACGAGCAGGAGTTCATCTGGGACTACATCATTCTGGACGAAGCGCACAAGATCAAGTGCCCCTCTAACAAGACAACCAAGTGTGTGTATGCAATCCCTGCCAGGCATCGCATCCTGCTCACTGGCACCCCCTTGCAGAACAACCTGCAGGAAATGTGGTCCCTGTTTGACTTTGCATGCCAAGGCTCCCTCCTGGGGACGGCCAAGACTTTCAAAATGGAGTACGAGAATCCCATTACCAGGGCGAGGGAGAAGGACGCGACTCTAGGTGAGAAAGCGCTGGGGCTAAAGATGTCTGAGAACCTGATGACAATTATAAAGCCCTATTTCCTCAGGAGAACCAAAGAAGATATCAAAAACAGCTGCACCAACAGGCCAGATGCTCCTCTTCCCAAGGGTCCAAGTGAGAACAGTGCCCCCACCATGCCATCTCTCACCAGGAAGAATGACTTTGTGGTGTGGGTGTACTTGGCAGCAGTGCAGGAAGAAATCTACAGGAACTTTCTCTCTCTGGATCATGTAAAAGAAGTGCTGACGACAACGCGATCGCCTCTGGCTGAGCTGACTGTCCTGAAGAAGCTGTGTGACCATCCCAGGCTTCTTCCTGAAAGGGCATGTGTCCAGCTGGGCCTGGAAGAGCAGGAGCCTGGGAGCGAAGCCGGCATGCTTGCAGGCACCAGTAAGATAGACCACCTCTCCGAAGAGACCCTGATTCAGGAGTCCGGAAAAATGCTATTCCTTGTGAGACTGCTGGAAAGACTGCGGGAAGAGGGGCACCAGACACTGGTGTTCTCGCAGTCTAGGAAGATGCTGGATATCATCGAGCACGTCCTGTCCTGTCGGCAGTTCCGGATCATGCGCATCGACGGCACTGTGACCCACCTGCTAGAGAGGGAGAAGCGCATCTCCACCTTCCAGAGGAACAGGGAATACTCCGTGTTCCTGCTCACCACACAGGTTGGTGGCGTTGGCATAACCTTGACAGCAGCCAGCAGAGTGGTGATCTTTGATCCTAGCTGGAACCCAGCCACAGATGCACAGGCTGTAGACAGAGCTTACAGGATTGGGCAGAAAGAGAATGTGGTCATTTACAGGCTGATAACCTGCGGCACGGTGGAGGAGAAGATATACAGGAGACAGATATTCAAGGACTCATTAATAAGACAGACCACTGGTGACAAGAAGAACCCGTTCCGGTATTTCTCCAAACAGGAGCTAAGGGAGCTTTTCACGTTAGAAGATACTCGAACATCCGCAACCCAGATCCAGCTGCAGTCCTTGCATGCCACCCAAAGACAGACTGACCTGCAGCTGGACGAGCACATTGCTTACCTACACTCCCTGGACATGTTTGGCATTTCTGACCACGACTTGATATACACATCGGAAACTGCTCATGAGGAGCAGGTTGAGAGTGAAGAAGCCCACCAGTACATTCAGCAGAGGGTACAGAAAGCCCATGAGCTGGTTCAGTTGGAGTCTCAACTTAGAGACCAGAGGCTGGAGGGTATCAGAAATGATTATGAACAGATGTGGAAAAGGCCTCCAGAGTTAGTTTCCAAGCCAAAGGAGTTGTCTCCAAGGATGAACAACATAGATCACGCTGTTTCACCACCGGTAGCTGACAAGCACAAACATTACAAAGCTATTGATCTTACAGAAGACATGGAAGTCCAGGCTCTTAATGTCAGCTCCAAAATAACTAATCTGACTATTGAGGACTTGGATGAAGAGAAACCAGCACAAGATGTGTCCAGTATGGATACAGAGCTGCTTAATACCAGCAAGACAGTGAAACAATCCAATGCAGAAGAATCTGAACAAAACCTTAACTTGAGCATGGTGCCATCATCACATGGACTTGATAGGGACAGTCAGAGACTTGAGCAGGAGCAGTGTTCCCATATACATGCAGACAGCTTGGCTGAGGCAGGGAAGGACCTGTCTGCGTGTCCTCATCATTCCTCTAACGATCCCGAGAGGTTAAGAGAGACAGAAGTGCCAGGTGAGGTACCTGATCCATGTGCTGCCTCAGGGGCAGAGAAGGATGATGCTCCTGAGCTCTCTTGGGCTGCTGCAGCACCAGATTTAGCCCATGTTACACCAGAGATCCATGCTGGATCTGAGAAGTCTCCTGTGCTGGAAGCCAACTTGGAGGAGATGTCTGTGTCTTCTCTCCAGGATCAAGTTGACTTCAATCTGGTCTTGGAAGAGTCTGACGATGGATGCCAAGATGCCTCAACTAGGGAAGGATCAGCGGGACGTGCAGGAGGGGAGGGCTTCCCACAAGAAGCAGGAAGCTTTTGTAAGTCTCCCACCACAAAATCTCCAGCAAAAGCTTGGCCCAGTGAGAACAGTAACTGTAGAGAACCCTGTCCTGCAGCTGAAGAAGTGCCAAATACCTCCCTGCAAGGGAGTGAAGCATCAGAGGAAAGCAGCGATGACTTTGCTTTTGGTAGAAAAAAAAGCTTAAAAAGACTTGTTTCAGACAGTGAGGATGAAGAGCATTCTGTTATGCTTTTGCAGGAAAACCAATCTGACAAAAGGCCTTCTTCCTTGAACAGCCCCCTGCACCCATTCCTGGAGGGAATTGGCACATCCACTCCGAAATGTGACAAAGGTCTAGCACAAGCTGTTTTTTCTCCCCAGCTGAGCAACAGCGGCAACTGGTCTATTGCTTCCAGGCGGTCTCTGATCAACAAGGTGGTAGATGAGGTGGAGGATATTGGAGAACTCATGGGAACCACTGAGGAAGAGGACAGCCATGAGCAGCAGGATGACCTCGTGGAAGAAGAAGCTGAAGAGTGCAGTGGGGAATCTGTGGAGCCTGAAGAAGAACCCGCTGGAGAAACGCTTGGTACAGCTGAGAAGTCTTCCTGCCTGGACAGCATGTCCTCTGAGCAGTCGGAAGTGGATGCCACTGAGTCCTCTCAGGAGGAATCCACTGGTGATGTTGAGCTTCTGTCAGGGGAGCAGATAGAGTACTGCACCCAGGAAAGCGTCCCTGAAACAGAGGTGGCTCAGAGCTCTTCTCCTGCTGCAGGAGATTACAAGACCTTGGTAGACAGTGGGAAAAAACTTCAGGATGATGGAAAGCTACAGGAGGCATTGAACTGTTTCCTGCAAGCTCTTGACATCAAAAGTGGTGATCCTGAAATTATGCTCATGACTTTAAACCTGTACAGACAGCTAGCCCAGAAATGAAGCAGCTGTTATCTTTGGTAAGTACAGCCTTAACATTGTCTTGTTAAATGCGTGTCTGAACTACACTCTGAGACTGAATGCTGCCAAATGCACTTCTTTTGTGGTGGCTGAACAATGTCAGCACCTTCTCCTGCATGAGGAAAAGCCCAAAACCCACTTGTCAGGTGCTGGGGAAGGGGTTTACCTGGGGCCTCGCTTCACAGAGATGAAAATGGTTCATCTGTCAGGCTGCTGTCTGGTTATTTAATAAAAACTCATGTTCTTTATGGCTAACCTTATCTCCAGCTCCCAGCCCTGGCTGCAGGCTCCTGCACATCCTGTCCCTGCCTCCCCCCAGAGGGTGCTGAGGGTGTAGAAACCCTCCTGCTCCAACCCCTGCCAGGCTGTGGTTGCTGTTGAGAGAGGTGGAGGCAGGGGCTGTGGAGGGAATGGACCAGCAGTTGGAGCTGAACTGCTGCAAGGTGCTGAGCACCTCTCACCTCCTGGTGCTGCTGGGGGAGCCTCAGAACTGGCTCCAGTCCGAGCTTGTTTTCTCCCATCTCCATTTACCTCTGAGCAGCGCAGGCAAAGCCTGTTCTGCACAAAGGCAGCAGGAGGGGGGAGAACTGGTGTTAAAAGTTCAGGCTGCTTGTCCTCTAACCCTTTTCCCACATAACACCTCAGCTGTGGCAGATAAACCCTCTCTCTGGCACAGTAGCCACAATGATGTGGTTCATAGCTTGGAAACAAGAGAGCTTAGCATCAGAAGAACCTTGCAGTTGTTTTCAGAGTGCTCAGCTTCCCTCCCCTGCCCCTCTGCTGCCACGCTGAGGGAAACCCAGCTCACCGCTGTGTCAGTCTTCCCTTGGGACAATACAGCACTGAACTTCAGTGCTTCCTCATGCCACGTGCACATTTTGTGCCTAGCAGGTCTGGCTGCTGCCCTAAAGAGCAGGGGATACCTTCACACCTTGCTCAGGTCTGAGAGAGGAAACTGGTCTGAATGTGACTCCTTTATGCTAGGAGAGATGGCAGACACAAACCACCATGTGGCTGGTACAGGAGATATGCCAGTGCGCTTCTGTAAAGAGGTAGAACAAAACTCTGGTAGCCTGGAAACAAGCAGTTTATTAATAGAGCATCCCTTCAATGAGGCCACATCTGCTCTGGTGCTGGGGAAAGGCCTGGCTGCCTTTCTTAACACAACACTCATGAACCAGAGCAGTGCAGTTTTTTGTGAGCTCTCTCAGCTTTCCAGTCCCTTAACAAAACACCCCAAAATGGAGGGAGGAAAAAGACCTGCCCTGGTTTTGGTCTAGCCTCATCTTTGTATATGATCTTGGGAAAGGCCTTTTGGTCTTTGGTGTTTTCTCCCAATCTCCAAGCATTCAGACACTGCACGATGCTCACAGGCAACCAAAGCCAGAGTCCACTGCTGGAGCTCTGCTTCAGGAAGGGGCTCCCTGAACTGGGGTATGGATTGCCAAGATCCAAGAGACCTGCAGGGCTGCCTCCATTCACATCAATCACAGAATCCCAGCTTGGTTTGTGTCGAAGAGACCTTAAAGCTTCTCCAGTTCCAACCCCTGCCACAGGCAGGGACCCCTTCCACTGGAGCAGCTTGCTCCAAGCCCCTGTGTCCAACCTGGCCTTGAGCACTGCCAGGGATGGGGCAGCCACAGCTTCTCTGGGCACCCTGTGCCAGCGCCTCAGCACCCTCACAGGGAAGAGCTTCTGCCTAAGAGCTCATCTCAGTCTCCCCTCGGGCAGGTTCAAGCCATTCCCCTTGCCCTGTCCCTACAGGCCCTTGTCCCAGGCCCCTCTCCAGGTTCCCTGCAGCCCCTTTAGGCACTGGAGCTGCTCTAACGTCTCCCCTTCAGGAGCCTTCTCTTCTCCAGGCTGCCCCAGCCCAGCTCTCTCAGCCTGGCTCCAGAGCAGAGCTGCTCCAGCCCTCGCAGCATCTCTGTGGCATCCCCTGGACTCGCTCCAACAGCTCCACATCCCTCTGGTGCTGTTGCCCCAGAGCTGAAACATGACTGCAGGGGGGGTGCTACCCAGAGCACAGCAGAGGGGGAGTATCCCCTCCCTTGACCTGCTGCTCATGCTCTGGGGGTGCAGCCTAGCACATGGTGGGGTTCTGGGCCACAGTGCATATGGCCGGGTCATGGGGAGCTTCTTGTCACCCGCCACCAAGCACATCACACTGTCCCTCACATAGTTTCACCAGAAGGATGAGGTGCAGCCTGTGAGGCCTGACACGTGCACTGCATAGTTAGCAGGAGGGGAGTGCAGGAAGCAACAAGCATTTAGTGGCTTTTCTCACACAAGCATGAGGTATGCAGTGTCTTCCACTGCAGCTTTGAGCAGGCAAAGATGTAGCTTTAGGTATAGGAAACTGAACTTGGGAGGATTCCTCCTCACCACTGCTGCTCAGCCAGGGCACTGGATCTGCACCTCTGCAGGGCAATCACTGTAAGCCTGAGTACCTCCTCCAAGTGTCACTGTCTCCACAATGGCAACAGCAAGAGGCTGGCCAGCCAGGAAAAGCAGAGCACAGAGCTCTTGCTTCACCTTTTCCAAGGAATGCCCTGCCTCTCTAGGCATAGCCCTGCTTTCTGCCACCTATAACCTGTGTCCTGCCATGGCAGCGGGATGGGTGCTGCCTCCAAACAAGCTGCTGGTAACCACTGGCTTGCTCCAGGGCTGCGGTGTCTGGAAAGCTCTTGGGATTCAAGCAGCCAATACACTCATGGTCATTCACATTTTATTTTCTGCCTTCCACCATGATAATGTGGTACCCAAACTTTGTTTTGACCGGGGGGTCTGTATACACCGGCTTGTCCATGCTGCTCACAGGCAGAGCGAACGCTGCCTCCTGGAATGGTCCCACCATGGAGCCTCTGGTCATCCAGCCCAGGTCTCCCTACAAAAAGGAACCGTGAGGGTTAAGCTTTGAGGATGTCGCTGCCGCAGCAGCAGCCCGGCCAGCAGGCAGGGGGGTGGTGGAAACCTGTCCCAAAACCAGTTCTGGCAGCATCAGTCCCAGCACACACGCTGTGAGGCAGTACAGGGCTGGGAAGAGCTCCTCAGCCCGAGCTGCTTCTCAACCAGCACATCTAAAGTCCTGCTGCCCGGGGGCTCCTGTGCCTCAGACCTGCTGCAAACAACCATTTACCCCTGAATTAACGCTGCCCCCACCAGTGTTTGCTCACGACCGTGCCCGCAGCTGCTGAACCGGCCTCCTGAGCCCCAGCAGCGTATTCTCGGGGCACGCAGCCACCGGCGAGCAGAGCAGACCCGGCCCCCGCGGGCCGCAGCCACCCCCTGTGCTCCCCGTACCCCTTGCCGAGCTTTGTCCTCGCTGTACTGCGAGGCCACCTCGCTGAAGCGCTGCCCAGACTTGAGCTTCTCCATGGCCTCCATGGCTCTGCCGTGCTTCTCACACAGGATATGCCGGACCTGCGGGGCGAGGGTGCCAAGCGCGGCCGTCAGAACCGGGCCGGGAGGGGGAAGCCCCCCCGGGGGACCCCGCCGCACCCCGCTCTTACCTTCACGGCGTTGCCGCCTCCCTTCGGGCCCTGGGCTTTGGCATCGCTGCTGCCGCTGTCGCCGCCTGTGAACGCAGCTCCCTGAGACCAGCTCGGTGCCCGCGGCCCCCGGCCCCCCGCCACCCCGGGCCCCACCGGGGCCGCCCCGGTCCCACCTCGCCGGCCCCCGCCGCTCACCCTTGGCAGCCTTGCCACCGCCCTTTCCCTTGGGCGCCATGCTGCCGCCACCCGGCCCTGCGAGGCCCCCGGGCTGCCCGCGGCGCGCCGGGACCGGCCGCTTCGGGGCTGCCCCGCGCCCGCAGGACCCCGCGGCAGGGCGGGTACCGGCGGCGCTGGAGGGGGTGCAGGGGCCGCGTGGTCCGCGGCGGTGAGTCCTGCGGCAGAGCGGCACCGGGGCTGGACACAGCTGGGAGCGGGGTGGGCTCTGCTCCCAAGGAACAAGGGATGGGACAAGAGGAACCGGCCTCAAGCTGCACCAGGGGAGGTTCAGATGGAGCCGAGGAACAATTCCTGCCCCAGAGGGTGCGCAGGCATTGGAACAGGCTGCCCAGGGCAGGGCTGCAGGCACCGTCCCTGCGAGTGTTCGCACCCCGTGGAGACGAGGCCTCAGTGCCATGGGTTAGTGGTGGCTTTGGCAGGGCTGGGAACGGTTGGACTGGAGGAGCTTAAAGGGCTTTTCCAACCTGGGTAATGCTGGGATGCTGCCTTCCCCCAGGACCTCTGTCCATCCCAGCTCCCCGCACCATCCCCAGCTCCGCACATCCATCCCAGCTCCCACCCTGGGCTGACCCCAGCACCCACCCCTGGATCTCCCCGCTCCCCGCAGTGTCCCTGCGCTCACGCAAAGCCATTGGGGCACTCGGGCACACGGCAGACGCGGTGAGAGGCCCCGCGCTCCCCCGGGGTCCCATCGAGCCAACCCGGCGGTGCCAGGGTGGGTGCGCGTTCCCCGCGGCAGGCACAAGAAGCACGCAGAGGCAGGCGTCAGCAGGAGCCGTTTACCGAGCTGGAGCTGGCAGGTTGAACAGTACACACCGGGAGCACGGGCCCGCGGGGGGACCGGCACCGCTGCCCGCGCGCTCCCCAGCACCTCTGCACCCGCAGAGGGACGAGGGGGTGAATGGCCAGGGACCGCTCCACCGGGAAGAGCCCATTCCAGAACCGGGGATCTCCATCCCGCGGCCCGGAGCCAACCTTCTCCAGACATCTCTCATCTGACAGCAGCCAACCCGCCGATGCTGGGTTTGGTTTCTGCAGGGGCAGCCCCCGTGTCCCCAGCCCCGCTTCGCCGCCGTCCCTGGCCACCGCCACCACCAGTTTCCTGAGCAGTCATGTGCAAAATGGACCCGTCCCAGAGCTTCCCTCCCCGTTCCCATGCCCCCCTCCTAGCACAACAGACCCTGTGCCAGGCTGGGCAGCAGAGGGCCGGGAGCGGGGCCGGGCAGGGGCTAGAGCAGGGACATCTCATAGCGCTTCTTTTCCTTGGGGTTTTCTATTTTTTCCTGAGTTTCTCAGCCTGGATCAGAATTACAGGCTTAAATCTGCAGCCGCGGCACGGGCAGAGAGCCATGTGCAAGTCATGGGACCGAGGGGAAGGGGAATCAACTGGGAGGGTCGTGGAGCCTGGGTGCGTGGATGCGAGTGAACATGGGGCTCTGTTCGCAGGGGGACAGAGACCCCCCAGGGCCTGGTCCTGGCCCCTCACTCCGGTGCCCCCTGCTCCTCTGGGAGCATCAGGCCACGCTGTGGCTGGCGTGAACACATTGGGGAATAAAGCAAAAATTGTTCTAAACACGCTCGGAGCTGGGGCTGGTGCTTCCCCACAGCTCCCCCTCCTCCGGTGCCCTGCCCCGGCCTTGCAGCTGATCCTGACCCGTTACCGCGGCCTCTGCTCCCACCCGGAGCCAAGCCAGGGGTCCAGGGGGATGAATCCCACCCCGCGCCTGCCGCTGTGCCCCAGGAAAAGGGCTGGCTCCCAGCCGGGGATGTGCAGACCGCCCTTCAGCTGTGTTGGCACCGTGTCCGCCAGCACCGCCACGGATGTGCCACCTCCTCAGGGTTACCCGTGGGACACTGCTGCTGGGGGTAACCCCAGAGGGACCCCAGGAGTCACCGGAGGTGGCGTCTAGATGGGTTTGGCCAACGGCTCGGTGGCAGCCTCTGTGCTCCAGCGGTGACGTGGCCGATGTTTGCAGGAGGTGCTTGTGCTCCAGTGCGATGCGTGAGGCACCCGATGGCAGGGCTGGTGCCGGGGGGCTGCGGGGCACAGGGGGGCCAGTGGAGCTCCCTCCACATGTGGCACACCAGACGGGACGAGATTCCCGGCACTGGCGGTGGAGACGACCCTGGGGTTTGCTTTCGGACTGAGAGCCGAGGAGCTCTGAAATGCAGCATTTTGGGGGCTTTCAAGGGCTGGGGTTGGCTTGAGGTCGTCACGCTGGCTGCGGGCACTGGGTGCTGTGTCCCCATGTGGCAGGGAGGGTGCTTGGGATGAGGAGGGGGAACCTCTAGCGGCTCGTCAAAAGCAACCTTGGTTCCAGCCAGCCCCCTCGCATCTTCCCAAAGTACATCTCCGTGTATCCAGCCGAACTCAAACCTGAGATCTTTGCCTGGGAAACTCAAGGTACAATGTCAAATGAAAGAGAATAAAACATCATCACCACTGTGCATTAGAAAAGCCATTTAAAGTACCACATGCCGAAGTGACCACACAGTTTCAAGCTAGCTTCGCTGCAAGGCTGCCATCCCACTCTGCCTCTCAAGCAGCCAGGATGGTCCCAGCCGTGGGGCCGCTTCTTCCCGCCTGGATTTGGCCCTGCTCCATCAGAGACACTTGGGCTCCAAATGCAGCTCTCCAAGGAAGAAACAAAGGCAGAAGAAAGCCCTTGGTGGGAGCCGGGGCTCAGTGGGCAGCCAGGCTGCCGCATCCGCAGCAATGCTCCTTCTGCAGCCATCTCCAGCCCTCCATGGCCAGAAGGGACCATGCATGGTTAGGGCTGGCTCCTGGGGCTGCTGGCACTGTCCAGCTCGGGGGCAAACTCCGTCATGACCCTCCGAGCCAGCGGGTTTGTGGTCTTGAGCAGTTCAGCAGCAGATGGCCGAGTGCCGGCACTGGTTTTGCTGCTCTTCTTCTGGAGCAGGGCTTTAAAGTCTTCGTTCCTGCTGGAAGACTTCCCGGTGCTGCCTGGTGCTGCCACTGCAACTGCTGCTGGGGACTCGCTGGTCGGGGAGCCCGAAGTTGTGACGGGCAAGTGGGAGTTGGGCCGGCTGGCAAAGGTGTCACCAGGCTCCTTCCGCCCCAGGACCTTCCTCTTCGACCTGGGCACCAAAGAGACATGTGGTGGGAGCAGCCCCAAATGACAGCTGCTGCCAGTGTCTGTATGGGATGAGACTGGTTTGGGTTGAAGGGACCCTAAAGCTTATCCCAGCCCCCTGCCACGGGCAGGGACACCTCCCACTAAAGCAGCTTGCTCCAGGCCCCTGTGTCCAACCTGCCCTTGAGCACTGCCAGGGATGAGGCAGCCACAGCTTCTCTGGGCTCCCTGTGCCAGCGCCTCAGCACCCTCACAGGGAAGAGCTTCTGCCTAAGAGCTCAGCTCAGTCTCCCCTGTTGCTGTGCCGGCTCCACTGGGGCAGGAAGACAACACATGCATGACAGGGGATGCCCCAAGGTGCTGGCAAACACTCCCCTGGCAGCAAGGCTTGAATCACCCCAAGGCTGATGGAGCAGTAAACCCCCCCAACCCCCTTGGGAGCCGGTGGTCCTGGCCTGGCTGCAGACTCAGGGTGCTGAACTCTGCAGGGCCCAAGGCAGGAAGCCTCAAGTGTGAACACCTGATGTGTGGCAGTGGCACAGAAGGAGCCACATACCTGTGGATCACAGTGAAGAGATCCTCCGTGGTACGGGACGTTACGAACACGTCGTCATCCTCCTCGGCGATGGACTCAGCCGTCTTGTCACTGGCAAAGCTCTTCTCCTCTGTGCCAGGGTCTGCCGAGCTGTCTGTGGCGGGAGGAGACTGTGGTGAACCACCCTGTGCGGCACTGGGGCCCCTGCCCTGCTCTGCCCTGCCCTGGAGTGAAACCAGTGCAGGAGTGGGGAGACCCTCACCTTGCTCTGGGGGGGCATCACTGGCTGCTGCAGTGCCCAGAGTCCCTGGGGACAGCAGGTCCTCAGCATCAGGGTCGCAGGATGTGGGGTCAGCATCCAGCGTGATGATGGGGCTGGGGGTGGGTGCTGGGTCACCCGTACTGGCTCCCGGCACCAGGGCCGGCACAAGTGGCAGGTACAGAACGCTGGGCTTCTTGGGTACCGGAGGCGGCACCTTAGCCTTCCTCCGTGGCGGCCACGGCTCATCCTCCAGGCTGTCGTGCGAGAGCCGCCTCTGTCGCGTCACCGGCACTGGGGCCGTGGGGGGCTCCCCTGGGCCCCTCCTCAGCTCCCCCTTCCGCAGAGCCATGAAGCCGTCCTGCGGCATCCCCTTGGTGGTGGCGGTGGCTGCAGTGCCCAGCGGGGATGTGGGGGACAGGGGGCCCTCCTCCCGCAGTGCTGGGGGCTTGGGCAGGATGCTGGGGGGCCGCTTGGCCAGCGGTGGCTTCTCTGCCACTGGCGGCTTCACCTTCCTGTCAGGCACCGGGCAGGGCAGGCGCAGCGGCTCCTCTGTGGGCTCGGGGCCATCGGTGTTGTCCTCGGGCTCAGAACGGCTGATGGAGCGCAGGCGCACTGAGCGCAGGTCAGACTGCGTCACCACCGGCATGATGGGGGCGATGGGGCTGCTCTTCTGGGCCAGCTTGGTGGCAAAGGTGGTGGAGTCAGAGTGGTGCCGGCTGACCTTCTTCTTCCCCTTCAGGGAGATCTTGAGCCCCGAGAGGTCGAGGTGGGCTGGGGGTGTGAGCGGCAGGTCGAAGGATAGCCGGGCCTTGGGGCTCCTCTCCATGGGGGATGTGGGGGGCAGCGAGGACTTCCTCTCGGGCACCAGTGGCCTCACCCGGACCTGGCGCGGGGAGTGCCCGAGGACGGCGGAGGTGGGCACGGTTGGGGTTGGGGTCTCGGACTGGCTGGAGTACCCACTGGATGGGGACATCAGCCCTGGGGGCCTGCTGGGGGAGGAGGTCTTGGTGTCCACCTCGGCAGAGAGCTGGGAGGGTGTTGTAGCCCGGGAGACAGAGGGAGACATGAGCGACTCAGAGCTGCCCTGTGCCTTGGCGCACTCGACGGCCGTGGTCCCCGTGGCAGTGCTGGAGCTGGACAGGGAGCGGTAAGGGGGGTCCGCACCAGCCTTCCAGTCTGTGGGATGCCACTGGAGGGGGGCAGCTGTGCCCTCGGGCTCCCTGCCCGCGCTCCCCCGTGGGTCGGCGTGCACTAGCCGGTGTCCCTGCAGCTCTGGGGGGATGCACAGGCTCTTGGGCCGCTGGTCCTTGGGCAGCAGCAGGCTGGGCTCCACGTCATCCGGTCCCTCCTTGATGAGCGACACGCTGCGTGTTGGCGGCGAGGGCTTCTTCTTGGCCTTCTTGAGGGAGATGCTCTTGGAGCGCCGGCGCCGCTGCCCCTCCTGCTCCAGCCCCAGCCCCAGCGAGACGTTGTCCGTGCTGGTGCTGCCCTCGGAGCTGGCGCTGGGGTAGCCCAGGGTGTAGTTGGCGCTGCCCCGCCGTGCCTCAGTGTACGCGATGTCCACAGAGCACAGTGAGCCCGAGTCGGTGGGCACCGACAGCGAGCGCTCGCGGAACCGGCACCCGGCACGCTCCACCTCCAGCCGTGCCAGCCCTGCCGTGGGCTCGGCCTCCGCTTGACCTCCCGGCAGCAGGTTCCCCCTGGAGCCTCGGCCCTCGTACCCCTGCCCCAACCCGCAGGGGGACTCGGGCACTGCAGCGGAGAAGGAGCCGTGCCCGTTGCTGCCCGTGTGCTCCTCTGCGGCGATGAAGAAGGCGGCGGTGGCAGCGGCAACGGCTGCAGCGGGCGAGCCGGGGCCGGGCAAAGGGCTGGAGCCATCCGGCGAGGTGCAGGCTGCACCGGTGCCCTGGCCCCGGGTGGGACTGGGGGGGCCCGTGTAGCTCCAGGGCAGCGGGAAGGGGGGTCCGTGCGGGCCGTTGCAGGCGCCAGCGCAGGGGGTGGCCACGGGGTCCATGGGGCAGCAGCGTGCCCCCAGGTCACTGAAGGTCTTCCTCAGCAGGGCAGCGCGGGGCTGGCGGGGGCTGGTGTCCTGTGGGGCCGGCCCCGCTGCCTCGGGCACAAAGCTGCAGGAGACGGACTCGGCGATGGGTGCGGGAGCCACGGACGTGGGGCCGTTGGTGCTGCCTGCAGGGAGAGACACGGCTGGGTCAGCGCTGTGTGCCAGCGACCAGGGCTCGTCCCACCCCACGGCCAGCCTCTGGGGCTGCACCTCTGCACAGGCTTGAAGTGCGCCCAGGGGGACTGGAGGGGCCAGGCTGACACCCCCTTACCCCTGTGTTGACATGGCCATAACCCAACTGTGGACAGCCCCTGGCTGGTGTTAGCCCTCCAGCCTGGGGTCTGATGGCTGGGATGCGCTAGGGACACCTTAGCAGCTGTGGCAGGAGTCTTCTCTGTCCATCGGGACATTGGCCCCACGGTGACCAAAGTGCTGCCCCACGGTGGGGACACAGACTGGGACCAAGAAGAGCACAGCAAGGAATTGCTGCCCAGGTTGGGGAGGGACACGGTGGCTCACAGAGCCCAGGCTCTCCTCTCAGAAGAGCCTGGATGGGGAAGGATGCAGGTACCCTGCTTGGAGCAGGACACTCAAGGTCTCCAAGGGAGGGGCTGTGACAGCCTTGTTTGATCACTGCCATGGGGAAAACCCTCCTCCTACCCTGTGATGATGGCTGGCTCTGGTTTCTCTACACCTTCCACAACAATGCCCCCAGGCTGGGCTGGCTGCTGTCCCCATGGGGTCCAACACTGCTCCATGGCCATGCCAGCAGTGCTGCAGCACCCTGAGTTGTGTGACCACCGTCGGCATGGCCAGGAGCCAGGCACCTGCTCAGGGTGTGTGCTCATGGCCTCCTGCTCTGCCCTGCCGGAGCCAAGGCCAAGGTGACTCCGGGCACCAGGAGAAGCTCGGGGGCCTTCCCACCCTGTAAGTGTGCAGGACACTGTCTTGGGGTGAAGGGGGCATTCCCAGTGCCACGCCAGCCCCAGAGCCAGCGCAGCGTCACTGGTGTGCAGCACCTCAGTGTCCCAGGAGGGAGCAGAGCCAGCACGGTGGCCGAGGCATTCCTGAGGGCTGGCTGCTTGTTCCCAGGGCAGCTCTGCCCCCAGTCATGGCAGCTCTGCCCCCGTCACGGCAGCTCTGCCCCCATCACAGCAGCTCCGTCACCTTGGTCTCGCAGGGACAGGTTAGGGAATCCGATAATGGTCCGTCTACGCCGCAGGGTGGACTTGGGGTTCATCGCGGTCTCTGTGTTAAACAGGGAGTGACGAGCACTCGTGTGCCTAGCAAAGTGCTGCCCTGTAGCCAAAACAAACAGGCTGTCCACGGCGGTGCACTGTGCCCCTGTGTGTCCCCAGCCTGGGATGGGACTGCGGGCAGCAGCGTGGGATGGACGAGGGTGGTGACCATGGGTGACCATGGAGCACAGGACATGGAGGCACAGCCAGCGGCAGGAGAGGTGCTGCGGATGGATGTGGGATGCAGGGAAAGTGGTGGAGACTGGCCCTGCTCTGTGCTACGGGCTCTGGGCTGTGCTGGATAGGACCCTGCACTGCTGGGCTGCTGCATTAACAGGGCCAGTGGTGCTGGGGACATGGATGTGAGGAACAGCAAGGCAGGGAGAGAGACCTGGTGGTCCCAGCACATCTCTTCATTGTGGAGGGAAAGTGCAGAAAGCCATCTCTGGCCTTCAGAAGGTGCATTTGCTCAGGCACTGGCACTCACGTCTGCAAGGTTAAGGCAGGACCATGCTGCTGGGATGATGGATGGATGGATGGGTGGACAGACAGCTGAGACAGGCTGGCTGTGTGGAGGGCAGTGAGGACAAGGTTACCCCACAACTGGTGGCTGGGCAGTGCGGTGGGAAAAAGGGGCCAGTGGGTCAGGCACATAGAGCTGTGAATGGCAGCAGAGATGGCAATGATGGATGTCAGTGTGGTGCTGCTGTCTCCTGCCCCGTTCCTTCCCCACCCCTGCACTTCACCCCAGGCTCTGCCCACGTTCCCCCCCGGGTGCTGGCTTGCCCTACCCGAGACATTGATGGGGACGATGTTGGTTTGGACGGAGCAGGATGGGGGCTGCTGCTTCTCCTCCAGGGTGGGCAGGGGGAAAGCCCTGGGCCAGGGGGGCTGCTTGTCCGGGCTGGTGGGGAGGCTCAGGCAGGTGTCGGGTGGCCGCGCACCCAGCGCGCTCGTGCTGGTGCTCTCCTCGTCGGTCACTCGCCGGCTCGGGGGCTGCGGGATAAAGGCATGGCACACGTCAAAGGGACAGGGGTGGGACACAGGTGCCCCCAGCCCTGCCACACCAGCCCCTCTGCGGTGACACCAGGGCCGTGGCGCCCAGCCCAGCATCCCCGCACTCACCATAAGCACGAATTCAAGGCGCTTGGCAGGGGGTGGTCGGGGCGATGGCTCTGGGGGAGCGTCAGGGGATGAGTGCCCGGCGCTGCGGAAGGTCTGCCCGGTGACCCTGCTCTCGCTGTACTGCTCCTCATACTCCTCTGCAAGGGAATCAGTGCCTGGGACCCTGCTCCGGCTGCAGGCAGAGCTTTGCTCCCAGGGAAGGGGAACACAGAGGTATGTGAGTCCATCCCAGCCCTCTGTCCCTGGGCTGGCTCCATGTCCCTGCTCCACACAGGTAGCTAGGGAGGTGGGAAAGTGAATTGGGCTGGGTCAGCCTGGAGAAGAGAAGGCTCCTGAAGGGGAGACCTTAGAGCAGCTCCAGTGCCTAAAGGGGCTGCAGGGAACCTGGAGAGGGGCTTGGGACAAGGGCCTGTAGGGACAGGCCAAGGGGAATGGCTTGAACCTGCCCGAGGGGAGACTGAGCGAGCTCTTAGGCAGAAGCTCTTCCCTGTGAGGGTGCTGAGGCGCTGGCACAGGGTGCCCAGAGAAGCTGTGGCTGCCCCATCCCTGGCAGTGCTCAAGGCCAGGTTGGACACAGGGGCTTGGAGCAAGCTGCTCCAGTGGAAGGGGTCCCTGCCCGTGGCAGGGGTTGGAGCTGGATGAGCTTTAAGGTCCCTTCCAACCAAAACTGGGCTGCGATTCATTGTGTGATTCTTTCTATCACCCCCAGGAAGAATGCTGGGGCTGGAGGCAGCTTCCCCTGCTCCTGCCTGGGGACAGAGAGAGCTTGGGGGAGCAGCCAGAAGGGAGCTCAGTGTCTCCCCATCCTACAAGTGTTGAGCTAATTACTGCTGCTGGCTGTGGCTTGGTGGGAACTGGCTCTGCTGGGGCCGAGCTGATGTGATTACAGGCTGGGGGGAGGCCGGGCTGCTGATCTCATTGATGCCTGAGCTGCATCCGCCAGCTCCTGGTGGAACCAGGCTCCTGGCCCTGGCTGCTCTGCCTCTTGCTGCAGTGACTTGGAGCAGAGATCTGAGAGGGGCTGCTGAGGCTGGGATCCCCCCCCCCGGACCCAACTACTGCAGCATGGGGCTCCCGAGGAGCAGCTGGGATGCTGGTCACATGCCTGGGGCAGCTCCCAGCCCTGCCACCCCAGCCCCGGTACCTTGCATCATGCTCTGCAGGTTGAGCTGTGCCTCCTGGTGCAGCTGCTCCATGCCCGGCGGGCGCCCGGCTGCCAGGAACACGTTCACGGGCTGCTGCCATGGCAGCTTGGTGTGCGCGGCTTGCTTGGTCTCCACGTCCACGTTAGAGGTGGCTGCGAGCGGGAGGGAGCAGCGTGAGCGGGAGGTGGGAGGGTGGCTTCTTTGCAACCCCGCACCCTGCACAGCGCTCACCCCACCATAGCACCCTCCGGGAGCATGGGGCTGGGATGTGGCAGTGTCGCACCCCAGCCAAACCACCCCAGCAGGCTGCTGCTGCGTGGGACCAGCCCCAGCACTGCCACTGCCACCACACCAGGGCTGGGCACCATGCCCGCAGGCTGCCAGAGCCCAGCAGCAAGGGAGCGGGGTGTAATTGGGGAAGGAAGCGAGTGCTGCGGCCTGGTGGCTGCCCCGCTGCTCCAGGCACAGGAAGCACCACGCGTGGTGAAGCAACCAGAGGGGCAGAATTTGCAACCAGGATGGAGGGAGCGAAGGGGCCTCGGTGCCTCTTACCACACCGGGTACACAGCTCCTTGTGGGGTCAGCAGCCTCCTGGAGCTGAAACCTCCGCAGGGATGGGCAGGGAGCTTGTCCAGACCCTCAGAAACACCCACCCTGGTGGAGCAGTGCTCTGGCACACAGGCTCTGCCACGGCACCTGGAGCACCGGCACCATTGCTCTGAGCGGATGTGGGATTCCCACCCAGTGTGGTTTCCTGCTGGAGCTGGGGGAGCGGTTTGTGAGCTTTGAACAGCTTGGGGATCACCAGGGCCTCACCCCCAGGATCGTTCTGCAACTGCCTCTGTGTGGGCTGCTGCTGGCACCAGCTCATGGCACTGGGCTGGGTGCCTCCACCAGGACCCGGGTCTGATGTCCCTTTTCCCCCTGCGGTGGCCGGGACATTCCCCCGCAGCAGCCAGCTCCTCCTCATCCACCTGAGACTCCCTGACAACCCGCACCCTGGGATGCCCGCATGCCTGTCCCCTTCCCGCTGGTCCAGGCACTCCCTGCCAGCATGACAAACACATCCCCTCTGCCACAGGGCCGCAGGATGCCTGTCCCCAGCGAGCCAAACCGCAGCTTGAAGCACTCTGCTTCATGCCAGATCCAGGCAAGGCAGCACAGCAATCCCATTGGCCTGGGAAAAGGACGACAGCTCCCGAATGGGGCCAGCACCCCTGGCACAAGCTGTGTCCCTGCTCCTGCAGTGGCTGGTCACCAGGCACTGCACCCCAAGCATCACTCCTGCTGCCAGCAGGTGCCACCTTGCCTGTTGGTCCCAACCATGGGTCCTGCCTGTGCTGCCCACCCTTCCTCAGGCATGGATGGAGCAGCAGACACTTCATACCGCCCAGCACCCAGAGGCGAGGTGCCACGTCCCCAGCCTAGTTACTTTTATAATGTGTGTTACCATAACGACGTTGCTTTAACATGAGGCTTCATCCTTTCCCTTTCTTTTCCTTCTTTCTTCCTCCCCTCAATAATTTGACTCGTTTCCATACCAACCAAGAGGTGTCGGGGCGTGTGTGTGTGTGTGTGTGAACAGCCTGAGCTTCGCCCGCTGCAAGCCCACGGGCAGCGCTGTGCTCCAGGATTCAGCTTTCCCTGCCATGGGTGAGCCAGCCCCTTTCCTCAAGCAGGGAGGAGGCTTTTCCTGCTCTCACCTCCCAGCCTGGTGCCTGCCAGAGGGCTAGCAGCACCACTGTGCCCAGTCATCCTTGGCGACAGAAGCCAACATCAGGGCATCTCCCCAGCCCCCTGACTGGCCACAGGGTTCAGGGACCACACGATCACCTCTGTAGACCCCAGCCCCACAAGCCGCTCTCTTTGCCAAAGGGAGGGACCCACTGGTGCCCCATCCATTTGCAAGCACGCCCGAAGGACGGGTCCCGCACCCCAGCTCACTGCACCCCCTTGTACAGACCTGTCCTTCAGCCATAGCAGGTGCCCACATGTCCCCCAGCACCCGCAGAAGCTACGCAGCATCCCCTGGGACTCCGGGATACCCCCAGGTCACAACCCCCTGCCCCCCCTTCCACACCAGAGCCATAGCACAAGGATCTTACCTCCGCCAGCTCGGCCTGTGCTGGGGCAACTGCGGCTCCCATTCCGTGGCACCCACCACGTGCACAAACCACAGCACTGAAACCGGGGCCGCCCTGGGGCGAAGCGGAAGCCCAGGGCCTGCCCTGCCCTGCCCTGTGGTTGCAGGGGGGAAGCAAGGCAGCATGGCCACACACAGCGAGGGAAGGAAGGGTGCCGGGGGCCTGCACCCCCTCTGCGTGCAAGAACCCTTTGGGGACATAAGTAAGCCAGTGCCATCCTGAGGCACAGGTACCACTGAGGGCTGGCAGGGCTGGTTTCAGCTAGGAACAAGCTGCTGTAGTGGAAGGTGTCCCTGCTCATGGCCGGGATTTGAAACTGGGTGAGCTGTAAGGTGTCTTCCAACCCAAACCGGTCCCTAATTCTATGATCCTCCCAGCAGAAGCAGCAGCAGAGGAAAAGGGGTGGTAAAGGAAGGATGAACCAAGCATCCCTCCGCAGCCCAGGCACCCCAAACTCGTTCCTCAGGGGTGCACCATGCTTTCATCCCCTTGCATGCAGAGGTGTGTGCGGCACCCCGACGGTTTGGTGTCGCTCAGAGGGGTTTTGGCGCAGCCCCAGCAGCACTCATGGCCCTGCATGGCATGTGGTGGAGAGCTGGCAGCCAGCCCACGGCTGATGGAGCAGCCTGGAGCACTCAGCAAGAGGACACAGAGCCAGTGGGGCCGGTGCAGCCGGAGCAGGATCTGTTGCCCTCGGCAGTGACCCTCCTGCCAAGCTTATCGGTGACAGGCTCAACATTAAAATGCCTCTGAGGGGCCCCCACCACATGCAAATGCCTGTTGGAGGCAAAGGGCGCCTGGGGAGAGCAGAGCCGGAGTGCTGGCTCCATCCCCTGCACTCCCAGTACTCTCGCCCGGAGCATGGCCAGCCCCTCTGCTGGGGGAAACTGAGGCACGGCTGTGAGGAAGCTGCCCCTCACTGCTCCGGGCAGAGGTGCTAACGACAGGCGATGGAGGCACAGGTGCTCCCAGGGGTCTGTCCCCTCGCAGAACTGGAAGCAGGGGCAGGATCATGGCAGGTCCTACTGGGATGGTCCCACTGGGCTGCTCAGGGGAAGGGCAAGTGCCAGCACCACCGGCAGCGGGTGCTGCTCCTTCTGTAACGGCTTCAAGTCTTACAGAGAGCGAGCGAGTATTCAGCCACGGGACGCCATGGGCACTGCAGGTGGATGAGGACTGGGCCTGAAGCCAAGCGGAGTTTGCTCTGTGGAGAGCTGAGCTTCACCATCTCCTGGGAGAACAGTGTCTTGCGGGACCCCAGACACAGGGCACAGAACGCATGCCCTCTGCTAGCATCTCCCCGAGTTGCCCCTGCTGCATGCCAGCATCCCTGTTTACCTACTGCCCGGGCATCCCGAATCCACAGGGAGATATTCGACAGCGCCATCGGGACTCGTTTCAGCTCGGCCCGAAGCTCCCGTGAGACAACGCCTCTTGCTCGAAGTCCCCGCCAAACTTCCCGGTGTCAGGCTCGCCGCAAGCTGCCGGGGGGGGCCGGCGCTGCGCACGGAGCCGCGGGGCCGCGGGCTGCCGCTGCGGAGTTATCACAGGAATGATGTAACGGCGGCAGCAGGCGATGCACCATCAGCAGAGCAGCCATGGCAACGGATATCGGCACAGCGGCGAGCCAGCGCGGTCCCAGCACAGCGGAGGAGGAGGACGGTGAGCCTGGAGACCGAGCCCGGCCGCGGCAGCCACCCGAGCCCTGCGGCTTCGAGCGAGCGCCCGGCCTGCCACCAGCACCGCGACTGCTCGGTGCCGTGCGTGCGGCCCGCTGCCATCCCCATGGTACGGAGCCAGGGTGCACGCTGCGCTGAGATGAGCGGACAGGAAGGGACGAAAGCAAACCGCGGGAGCTGGCAGCCGCTGAGGAAGTGCCTCCTGTCCCCACATCAGCCCCCACCGCACTCGGACCCACCGATCCTGCCACCCCACCGGGACACAGAGCTACGTCCATGTGCACAGCCAGACAGATGCTCACCCAGGCCAGAACATCCCAGAGCGACACCCCACTGAGCACCCATGCGCCCAGGGCCGCGCCGGGGCGTTGCTCATGGTGCAGACCTGCCCCTTCCTTCAAGCACTCACCATTCCCGAGAGAAGCCCTTGTGGAGTGGCTGATGCACTGCACCAGGCTCAAATCCATACCCTTGTGGCACATCACCCCACCATTACACATCCCACAGGCGCTCCTCAAGCCTGCAGCAAGGCAGGGCCATCCCCAGACCCCTCTGGCCTGCTGATGGTTGAGATCAGAGGGACTGGAGGATTTTTAGGGGAGGACCCTGGTGTCACCTTGCAGAGCACGGTTGGGTGCTCCTGTGCAGGTGCCCAGCAGCTCTGCTGAAGAATATCACCACCTGGGTACACCACATCTGCCCAAGGCTCCTGGTTCCTCTCACTGTCCCTGTTTCACGTGCAATCAGCTGATTCTTGCACTGACAGGAGATAGGGGCACTGGAGCAGTTGCTGGCAGGGGTGGTGAGTTCAGCAGCTGTGAAGGTCACTCAGCTGGTGGGGAGAAGGCTGGATTACATGAGAGGCTTCTACTAAAACCTCTGGCAGCAAACCAGTCAATAACATCAGTGCCCATCAGTAGGGCCCAGAGTCAACAGTGCACTGAGGCACTCGGCCTGCCTGGCACTGTGGCGAGATCCTGTAAAACAGGTGAAAACCTTCTTTCTCCAGCCAGACCCCAAGTGATCCATCACCTTCCCCTCATGCCTTGCGTAGGGCAGGGGCAGAGGGGACATGAGCTGGGACCCTGTCAGGGAGCTCTGGCAGCCAGGGAGCTGCGTGTGGCAGGGGGAGGACTTGGCCAGCAAGCGGCACAGGAGGAGCCCCAAGCATCATCTGCCTGTGCTGCGGGGATGGGAAGTGCCCGCGGCCATGCTGGCACCAGGGCTTGGCCGGGTACCACGGCAGCCAGGATGAACTCACATGGCTGTCTGCCAAGAGGACAAGAGCCACCATGCACGGGGATGAAGCTGCAGCCCCAGAGCTGCTCTAGGCTCCTCAGGTGCTCCCATCACCCCACCTTTGTCACCCAGGAGCCTGCTGGTGGGACCCAGGTCCCTGTAGCGACCCCCCAGGCATGGGCAGCAGGGTCAGACCCCCCGAGCCCAGCTCTCAGCCCCACCGTGGCTCCTGTCAGCCTGGCTTCGTCCTGTACTCCAACCCTCTCTCTCACGCGCTTGCCAGTCCAAAACCAGGCACGAGCCTTTCCCAAGGGCCTCAGCAAACACCGCCCGGCAATCTGCCAGCCCCAACACCCTGGCACCGCATTGCCCCGCACTGTGGCCATGGGCACCCTGGACCCAGTGCAGCTCAGGCTGCTGCCTGCTGGCTGTCCCGTGGCGCTGTGCCCAGCCTGGCCAGGAGTCTCAGGGTGCCCGGGCAGGGATCACGGCATTCGCAGGCACAGGCAGCCCGTGCCGGGAGGCTGCAGCCCCTCTCCGGGCAGGGGTGCTTCCAGGAAAGCGCCGTTTCCCCCGTGCCCGGCTGGTTTTACACTCTGCAGGGCCAGGACAATGCGAGGAAGCTGCCTGAGAGGGGAACGCAGCCAGGCCCTGGGACAAAGGGGGCCGAGACATGGAATCAGCCCCGGCTGGAGCCCCGGCTGGCTGCAACGCTCGTGTCAACCCACGGCCCCACAGTCCCCAGTCCTGCCGCCACCAGCAAGGAAGAGCTGCTGGGAGGGCTCAGCACCACGGGAATGGATGGGCAGGATCTGTTCCCATAGTGGGACGAGTGGTCAGGGGGTGTCTGTGCTTCTCTTGCTTTGTCAAAGCAAGGACACCCCACTGGGCTGGGCAATGGCGCAAGGGCTGAAGAGGGAAGGGGACATCCCACGGTCGAGGCCAGACTGGGAAAGGTGGGACAGGACCTGCGCTGACAGGCAGCACTGACTCTGGCTATTGCATGGCCTCTGGCCTCTGCCTGACAGCCCACCCCAACCCGGGTCCTGCCCTGCAGACCCCCACTGCCTGCTCCTGGAGGATGGTGTCCCGCTGCCCGCCCTGCCCACGCTGCTTGCATTACCTCCCCGGTGCCAGGGTGCCAGGAGCCATTCCACCTTGGCCATGGCCGCGGGTGCAGTGGGAAGGGGCTCACTCCTGCCCCAGCAGCTCCTGCTTCCAAACCCGGCCGAGAGCTGTGGGCTTCGTCCTCCTTCCCGCCCGCTCCCGCTCCAGCCCAGCCCAGGAGAGGAAGCAACCAGGAACTGGCTGTTTGAGTCAGCGCCCAGCCCATTGTCCCAGCCCCGGCCCCTCTTCCTTCCCTGCCATGGCTGCGGGATTGCTGGCGGAGGGGCCGTGGGTTTGTGCAGCCTGTCCCATGGCTGGCTGTCTGCCCGTCCTGATGGCAGGGGCCCACCAAAGGCCACCAGCTCCACGGCTGGGGCAGGGCTCATCCTGCTCCCTGTGCATGCAGTGCTAGGAGAGGGGACAGGGTCCTGGGGGCTCCCCTTGGCTGAACAGTCACGGAGCTGAAATCCCCCGCAGCACAGCCAGAGCAGCCATCGGCATCCTCCTGGAAACCAGCGCCTGGAGCCTGCTGCTGCCGCTAGCACTCATCAGCTAAGGAAAGCGGGCACCCTGCGGAATCCTCCTGCCTTTGCCCTAGAGGCTGCCAGAGCCCCCAGAGCTTCCTCTTGCTCCAGCTCACTCACAGGCCTTGAGAGAAGACTCCTCGGTGACCACCCTCCCAGCACCCAGGGCTCTATGAAGCTGAGCTAGCTTTTCCCGGAGGATGGAGGTCCCTGGGAGCCAGGGCTCAGTCCTGAGCCATGGCTTGCTCCAGAATGGGCGGCCCAGGCAGCTGGTGTCTCCCGTGCCAGGCACCCAGCATGCTGCAGACCCCAGTGACGGATGGGTGAAGGATGACGGATACCAGCAGAGCTCATTTTCCCCCTGGCAACCCAGGCAGCACTTGCATGGGGCTGACACGTACCAGCTAAGCAGGCAGAGCTAAGGTTCTGGCCCAGCATCACGCAGCCTTTCCCAGCCCATTGGGCCATGAGGAAGGCTGGATTCTACTGACCAGTGTAAAGACCCCTCTGCGCACTGCCCTGGGCACAGGCAGAGTGATCCTGCCTGTGATGATCCAAGGTACCTCCTGGTACCGCAGGTCCTAGCCCTCCTCGTCCTATCAGCCACCAGACCCACCACAGGGCTGCTTCTTATCAATGTCAGCTCCCTCCTCGGCAGACAAGCTCCAGCCTTGAACTGCTGCTGCCGCTGCCTCTCCATGAGGGATCCTGTGCGTAGCCGTTCAGGAATGCCCAAGCCATCGAGGTCCCTGTAGCCCCAAGCCCAAACTGCCTGGGAGCACCCAAGTATCCGCCCCAGCTTCATGCCCGAGGTACGTTCGGGCTGTCCAGTGCAAAATCCTGTTCCTCTCTGCTCCCAGCAGCTCTGTCTCTCCCAGGGGGGCCAGGCACCGGGAGGAAGGTCCCTGGAGATGTCCATGCTGGTGGACAGATGCACCCTGCACCCAAAGACAGAGATGAACTGGCTCCAGCACAAAGCCTGGCCTTGCAGCCCCTGAAAGCCCTTCCTGCAGGTGCTGGGAAGGCGACTTACAGCTCCCATGAGTCCCTTTAACAATGCAGAGGTGCGATTAGCAGATCCAAGCCATGACAAGGGTGGGAGAGGTAGGCCAGGAGCAGGCCAGCATCCACAGCCTGAGTCCTGCATCCAGCCACTGCCCAGCCTCCAGTCCCCCGTGAGACAGGGGTGATGTGCTGGGTACCAGCATCCTTCATCCCTGAACACCCACCAGGTCAGCATCCCTCCTCATCCCCCAGACAACCTGGGGGTCTGGTGCCCCTCTCCAGC